GCATGCCTTTTAATATTGACCATTTTATGTATTGTAAGTGCAATATATTTAGTCATTTTTAACGTCGAAAAATTAAAAATTAAAATTATGTAAATCAACTTAACGCAAATATCAATCGGACACCCGTTGATTATTTGGATAAATATCTGATAAAAATGATGAGTTTGGTGGGCCTATATATAAATCTGAACCGATTTCAAAGAGACTTGCCAGAGATTATTTTTTATAACCTACAGTTCTTTGTACAAAATTGTGTGACCATCGGACAAACTTTGGGTCTTTAGTGAACAATTTACACAAAATCGGAAGAAAAAAATATAGAAGCTATATCTAAATCTGAATAGATTTCCAGGAATCTTAATACACATCATTCTAGACTCAATTCCGTTCCCCATGCCCAATTTTTTGCAAATCGAAAAATATACATTGACTTTTGTGCATTTACATTAAATCGGAAGAAAGTATATATGGGAGCTATATCTAAATCTGAACCGATTTTCACGAAACTTAACACACGTTATACTAGATCTCATTAATTACGCTGTGCCAAATTTCGTGCAAATCGAAAGATATTTAGGGACTTTGGTGCACCATTTACCTTAAATCGGACGAAAATATATATGGGAGCTATATATAAATCTGAACCAATTTTTATGAAACTTAGCACACATCTTTCTAGGCTTAATTCAGTACGCTGTGCCAAATTTCGTGCAAATCGAAAGATATTTAGGGACTTTGGTGCACCATTTACCTTAAACACACATATTTCTAAGCTTAATTCAGTACGCTGTCCCAAATTTCGTGCAAATCGAAAGATATTTAGGGACTTTGGTGCACCATTTACCTTAAATCGGAAGAAAATATATATGGGAGCTATATAAATCTGAACCAATTTTTATGAAACTTAGCACACATCTTTCTAGGCTTAATTCAGTACGCTGTGCCAAATTTCGTGCAAATCGAAAGATATTTAGGGACTTTGGTGCATATGGGAGCTATATCTAAATCTGAACCGATTTTTCCCAATAGGGTTCGTCCTTGGTCGCAATAAGTGACGAATACTAAATTTTATCCAGTTCGGATCATAAATGCGACATGTACTTTGTTTACAATTTAACATGGACAGACAGACAGACGGACATGCATAAATCGACTTAGAATGTGATTCTATGCATATTCTCAAAAGGAACCATGTGTCTATCTCGTTTCCTTTTGCCTGTTACAAACATATGCACAAAGACATAATACCCTGTACCACAGTGTGGTGAAGGGTATAAAAATCGAAAATTCAAATAAACGTTTTGTCTTCTTCATGCTTCTATTTGTTTTTCGCGACTATTAAACCGTATTCAATGTGATTTGACTAGTGTGCAAAGAAAAGAAATGTGTTTATCCATTTGTGAAGAAATTCGCGAATTACAACTAATAGCAATTCATTTAATTTATATTTAAAATACAAGATTTAAAACCGCTAAAACTTTTGTGCGCAGCATCCGAATTTATGAACGCGAACAGATTTCGAATCAGCATATTTTTTTTAACTATGCAGCAAAAATTATAAATCTGATCGCAAAAAATTTTTTCAAATTTTTTTAATGGAATTTTAAAAGAATTTTTTTAATTTACCGTATACTCTATAATAATATTATTTTCCTTAATGAAAAGTTCAAGTAATATAGGGAATCACATGATCAACATAACCGTACCCCTATAGCCTTTTCCACTAGTTAGTTTAGTTTGCTTAATAAATTGATACGTATATAAATCTCATGCACTTACTAATTATCAATGACATTGGAAGTGCTGGCGATTGCGAAATATGCATCTTAACTATTTTATCAATATTTTTTTTTTCAATATGAACGGTTTAATGACTTCAGTATTGCATGCAGTGACTCAGCAAAATATATGTAAATTATTCTGTAAATATTTTACGATATTTTGACGAATAGCTGAACAATTATGACAGCATTTAGGAATGTAGTGTATGCCCTTTAGGGGACATTTTTAAGCACAAAATATGCAAATATTAAATTTTGCTACCAGTTTTTGGGTTTGAAGATTAAGTTTTTGAATCTGATTTGTTTAAAAAGATATCGGTTATGTAACCTGTTTTTTTTTAATTTTCACTACAATATACCCATCGATCCAAGAATAACTTTAGAAGGACAACATATTCCAATTGATTGAATATAATAAAATGAGAGGTTGATTCCATAAACTCCAAAGGTCTTTTCCAGTAAACATCGGATTCGACATCCCTGTAAAATTTGAGCAAGCGGTATTCTGAATTCTACAAAATTCACATTTTCTCTCGCTCTTCTAAACAAATAGATTGGACAAGTGCAATGTCGTAGTAAAATATGTTAAGTCGATATTATATAAATAAATATTCGGTTGGGGAAAACGACATCCAAAGGCCGGTCGTCAAAAATGTCGATAACATCGAAGAAATTATCGAAGTTGACCAGCATGTTAATAGTCATTACATCACCCAGGAGCTAAAAATCGACCATAAAACTGTTTTAAACCATTTACACGAAGCACCAATTAACATAAAATAATTGACCAACAGGAGAGGTGTCGTGATCCACCAGGACAACGCTAGGCCACACACATATACATTGACACGCCAGAAACTTCTGGAGCTTGTTTGGGATGTTTTAATGCATTCGTCATACAGTCCGGACTTGACACCAAGCGATTATCATCTTTTTCTTGCATTGAAAATTTCCTTAATGATAAACCTGTGAGCGGAGCAGTATAGTCGGACGGGGCCGAAAACACGATACCCTACACAACTACCACGGAACTCTTACTTTCTGCGAAGTTTTATTCCGAGTCTGGGCAATATTTCGAGACAGCTGCACCCTCTTTCCCGATAAGAGGCCAACAGCACCTCTTCTTTACACTGACACATTTTCCGAATATTACTAATATTCAGTACAGTTCTTATAACTACTTGTCCATTCTCCCTTTACCGTAAGTTGTGTGTTGTGTTGTGCTCGGCTTATAATTGTGGCCTATAGATCGACTAGAAAAAAAATCATGATCATAACCGCAAATTAAAGGCGTTGTCCTTGACCATATAAGCGATCAGCGCTATACTTCCGCCCTACAATGCGGTAATGGGTTACTAAATAATATCTGAATACGTAAGCACCTGTAAATATTTACGTGTAACTCTCATATTCAAACACATACGACAATATAATCAATTAAAGGCCAACCACACCTCTTGGATAGGACCAATATTTCGCGGCGTTACAAACTTTTGGGGCTGCACAAAGCTATAATACCCTGAACAACATAGTTGTGTAGGGTATACAAATGTGTATCTAGGGAGGATTGTGAAAATCGGCTCTGCAAATAGAGATCAGGACTTCTATGTGAGAGGCATTATGAAGTTACCTTTAAAATGACAACAAATCGGTTCATATGTGGCCCAAATTGGACATTCCGAAACACTTTAAATAAAGTCCTATAATTCTTATAAAAATAATGTTTTTTTAACCAAAATATTTTTTTTTGCTTCCAGAAATTAATTTGTTAAAGGCTTCAAGTTTGAAAGGGATCGCTGATTATCTCTGATATCGGTTCAGAATCATCACTCATGACCAGAATGACATTCTAAGTCGATTTAGTTGTGCCCGTATGTCATTCGAAAGATATATAAAGACTATGGTGCACTATTTACATAAAATCAGATGAATATATATATATGGGAGCTATATCTAAATATGAACCGATTTTCATGAAACTTAGTACTCATCATTCTAGACTTAAATCAGTGCATTGGGTAACATTTTGTCTAAATCGGACAAATATTGGGAGTTTGGTGCACCATTACATAAAATCAGTCGAATATATATATAACAGCTATATCTAAATCTGAACCGATTTCAACGAAACTTCACAGACATGAATTCAGTCGACTGTACAACATTTTGTCGTAATCGGACAGATATTTGGAGTTTGGTGCACCATTTACACAAAATCTGTCTATCTGTCCATGTTGAATTGTAAACAAAGTACAGGTGGCATTTATGATCCGAATTGGATAAAATTTGGCACAGGTCACTTATTTGGTCCAAGGACGAACACTATTGAAATTGGAGAAAATCGGTTCAGATTTATGTATAACTCCCATATATACGTTCGGCCGATTTGACAATAGTGCACCAAAGTTTCAATGTTTGTTCGATTGTGATTTTGTTCGAAATCGTTTCAATAGTTTTTATATTTTTATGTAAATGGAGGACTAAACTCCAAATTGTGGACTAAACTCCAAATGGAAGACCAAACTCCGATACATGAAATTGATTTAATTCGGTCCACATTTATATACAGTCACTTTGTTCGACATCATATAAATGGTACATAAAGACTTTAAGTGTGTCCGATATAATTGTAGATTAGCAATACTAAACTTAGGAGAATCACTTCTATATACCCAATGTGCTGAAGGCTTTCATATCGATCAGGGGTTTCTTTTTTCTACATCGATCAGGGGTTGGCTATAAAATTTTCGAAATTTTTAATGTCCTCGTCACTTGTTGTCAACAAACTTTGGGGGTTCCATTAAACATTCGATATCGGCATCATATTTCTCTCAGAGTAGAGGGTACAATGATTTCGTCGCTGCCGAAAGTGTTTAAAATTCAAAATCTTCCAATATTTCAATTAAAATAAATTGGTTATAAATTGATTTAATCACTTTTGTATTGAGAATCACAAAGAGAGGGCAAAGCAAACAAACCACAATTATCTCTCTCTCTTGTCTGTCGCCAGTGAAGCACGCAAACTGATCGTTTGGTGTTTACATATTGTAAACTAGATGTGCACACAAACAAACAGACATATTTTCAGGCAAACGACAGTTGATGGTGATATTGTCAATCTATAGTTTACACACAACTAGTTGTCAACAATACTTCGCCCAAAGCAAACCAAAACCGGCACAAGTATTTTTTTAATTTTGTTTGTTTGTTGCGGACATTTCTAAACGCAAATCATGCGTTTTTGGAATGAACAAATATTGCTGCAGCTATTTATAGCCATTGCCTGCATTTCGAATTCAATTCATGGCTATAAGTTCTTGGGCGTATTGCATTTTAGTTCAAAATCACATTTTATTGTGGGTTCGGCATTGCTGAAGGGTTTGGCCCAGAAGGGTCATGAAGTGACGGTCATAAGTCCCTTTCCACAAAAGAAACCACCGCCAAATTATTATGATGTACCAACGCCGTCGGTATTGAAAATTATGGAGAGTGAGTTTTGAGGAGATTTTTGTGGAATTCATAATTGAGTTCGATATTTTTTTAGAGGAAATTGACAACTTGTTGGATAACACAGAACGCAGTTTGGTGGAAAATATTGTCTCGTTTCATAACACAGGGGTAGAGGTAACGGAAGCAGTACTTAATGAACCGGCTGTAAAAAAATTAATGGCCACAAATCAAACATTTGATGCTGTCATCTGTGAGGTATTCCTCTCGGAGGCATTGTATGGCCTGAGTGAACATTTTAAGGCCCCATTGATTGGTTTGGGCACATTTGGTGCCATTTCGTGGAATACTGATATGGTGAGTCGATCTCGGTAAAAAAATTAAGGAAAGGTTTTTTCAATAACTGAGATTTTTTCTACAGAAAAGAATTCCACAACGGTAATTTTTGAATTTGTCCTCCTCAACAAATGAGGACTTTTTTCTGTAGAAAAAAGTCTACCTCAGTAACTGAGGAGTATTCCTGAGTATTCCTCAGTAACGGAGGATTTTTTCTATAGAAAAAGGCTTCCTCAGTAACAAAGGATTTTTTTCTATAGAAAAAGGTTTCCTCAGTAACTGAAGATTTTTTTCTATAGAAAAAGGCTTCCTCAGTAACAAAGGATTTTTTCTATAAAAAAGGCTTCCTCAGCGACTGGGGACTTTTTTCTATAGAAAAAAAGCTTCCTCAGCGACTGAGGATTTTTTATAGAAAAAAGCTTCTTCAGTTACTGAGGACTTTTTATATATAAAAGTCTTCTTTAGTAACTGAGAATTTTTTTCTATAGAAATGGAAACTTTCAAGGGAAATTGAATATTTTTTATCCTTTTCATATTTTTTAGGTCGGCTCCCCTTCACCACCATCATATGTGGCGAATACATTTTTACCCTTTACCGATCACATGTCGCTGGGTCAAAGGATAATCAATTTGGCTATGCTAACCTTTGAGAGATTATTTTTGGATTTATATTATCTACCAAAACAGGAGGAAGTTTTTCGCAAATATTTCCCCAACTCTGAGAGGTCCATGTGTGAAATACGTAAAAATGCCGCATTGGTCCTCTTGAATACCCATTTCTCGCTAAGTTTTCCCCGACCCTATGTACCAAATCAAATTGAGGTGGGTGGTATGCATATAAATCGCAAGCGAACGCCATTGCCACAGGATATTGAACAATTTATTAATGGATCACAACATGGTGTAATATATTTCTCTATGGGATCAAATATAAAATCTGCCAACTTACCTCTGGAGAAGAGACAGGAAATCATGAAGGCGTTGAAGTCTGTAAAGCAGCGAGTTCTGTGGAAATTTGAAGATCCCAATTTGGAGGGTAAACCGGATAATGTTTTCATCAGTGATTGGTTCCCGCAGGACGATATTTTGGCTCATGACAATGTAAAGCTTTTCATAACTCATGGTGGCCTGCTGAGCACCACAGAGAGTATTTACCACGGCAAGCCGTTCATTGGCATACCGATTTTCGGTGATCAATTTTTAAATATGGCCAAGGCGGTGGCCAATGGTTATGGCATTATGTTGGACTACAAGAATATTACGGCTACGGCCATGCAGCATGCAATTGAAACAATGATCAGCGATCCCAAATATACACAATTGGTGAGAGCAATGTCCCAGCGTTATCGCGATCAGCCAATGGAACCATTGGCCAAGGCCATTTTCTGGGTCGAACATGTGGCCCGTCACAAGGGTGCCAAATATTTACATTGTGCTGGTTTGGATTTAAATTTCATTCAGTATCACAGTATTGATGCCATTGTCATATTGTATGGTGGTATCCTATTCGTTGTGGGTGTTCTCTTGTGGTTGTTGAAATGTTTGCTGGGTTGTTTGTGTGGACGAAGTAAGGCGCAGTCTACGAAAACTAAAAAACAAAAGAAACATTAGTGTTAATAAGTGTGTGAGTCAAGTAATAATTATAGCTATTTAAGTGTGATTGAGAAATGTTGCAAATTATTATTTGTTTTTAATAAAGATTGTATAGTTTAGTTTTAAATGATGTTCAATTAAACAATAAATCGGTTTTACGTTTTTTTCCATTTTAAAATTAACTAATGACTGCAACAAGTTCAAATCAATCAATTCATTACAGCTAACTTGCACTATGTAAGCTTATTGTGAGAGAATTGTTATTAGACATGTTCTGATCTCATATGTATTTCAAGTTCTGGGAATTTTGAAAACAATCATTTCGATTTAATTTGTTCAAAATTTATACGAAAAATGGGTTGCCTTAGATCCAACATATTGGATGAATAATAATATTAGGTTGGTGGAAAGGAAATCCATTATTTTTACGGCAGATGGCTGTACTGAGAGATTTCTCGTGAAGTATCGATCAAACAATTTCAGATTTATGCTCGTTGGAAGGGTGACATTTCGCAGTAAAAAATAATTTGCTGAATGCACCTCACAGGTTGGCCGGTCGTCGAAAATGTCGGTAAAATCGGAGAAATGATCCAAGTTGGCCGAGATGTTAGTAGTCGTAATATTGCCCAGGTGCTAAAAATCGACCATAAAAATTTTGCATCATTTACCTAAAATCGGACGAAAATATATATGGGAGCTATATCTAAATCTGAACCGATTTTCAAGAAACTTAAAAAGCATGATTTTAAAATTAATTTAGTACGCTATGCCAAATTTCGTGCAAATCGAAAGATTTGGCACACCATTTACATTAAATCGTTCGAATATGGGAGGTATACCGAAATCAGAACCGATATTCCAAATTTTAATAGGGTTCGTCCATTGACTAAATAGATGAGCTGTGACAAATTTCACCTAATGCGACCTGTACTTTGTTTACAATTTAACCTGGGCAGACAGATGGACGGACATGCATAAATCGTTTCCTTTTGTCTGTTACAAACATATGCACAAAGACATAATACCCTGTACCACAGTGTGGTGAAGGGTACTTCCAAAACCCCCTTGACACTTCTTTTTAACTCTCCGTCAGTGAACCACATTCTAAATTTTACGTTTCAGCTCTCTCTCCGTTACCCAAATCCAAATTTAGTGCATTTTTTATTCGTTCACATAAATTTGATTTTCCAAGGTTGTCGCCATAACTCAATACTACACTTTAACAATAATCTAAATTCCAAATCTCTGGGTTCAACCAAATCTAAATTTAGTACAATTTAGTACTTTTGATACTCATAAGTAAGAATTTCTAAAACTGACTAAAAAACTGGACTAAAGTCCAAATTATACCAAATTTAGTACTTTTCGTACTCATAAGTACAAATTTCAAAATGTACCTCAATCCTGCTTTCAAATAGTAATCGTAGGTCCAAATTTAAGAATTCCAGCTCTGTACTTTTCGTACCCATATTCCAAAAATGTTTTCAAATAACAATCGTAAGTTCAAATTTAAGAATTTAAGCTCCGCCTGTTCTCCAAATTGTACCAGATTTGTACTTTTCCTACACTCCAACAGTAACCTAATTGGCAACTTTCAGAATTGGAGTTATAACCGTTCACTCAAGTCCAAATTGTACCAAATTTTGTGCTTTTCGTACCCATAAGTACGAATTTCCAAAACTACCTCAGGCATTCACTCCAATAATACCTTTAAGTGCACATTTAGGGATGCCAGCTCTATCCGTTCAACTACATCCAAATTGTATTAAACTTAGTACCATTTATTACTTTTCGTAGATGTTAGTACGAGTACAAATTTCAGGATCCCAGCCCTATCCGTTCACATAGATCAAACTTGTACCATATTTAGTACTTTTCGTACTTATGAGTTCGAATTTCCAACACTGTCTCAATCCTGTACTCTTAAAGTAATTTTATTTTCAAATATACGTTTTCCATCTCTATCTTTTTACTCAAATCTAAATTGTACTAAACTTAATACTATTTAGTACACATAATTACGCATTTTTAAAACTAAATCCATGTCTCATCCACAATCCTATCCTTAATTTTAATTCCAAATTTTATGATTCCCGCTCACACATATTTAGTACCATATAGTGCTTCTCGTATCTATAAGTACGTAATTCCAATACTATCTTAATTCTGTAATCTTTCATTCCAAATTGAAGTTTTTCATCTCTATCCGTTCCTCAAATCTAAATTGTATCAAATTTAGTACCATTTAGTACCCGTATTACGAATTTTCAAAGCTACCGTCATATCTCAATCCTGCACTCAAATTGTTATATTAAATCAAAATTTCAGGATCTCAGCCATATCCGTTCCCACAAAAACACTCCAACAGTAATTTTAATTCCAGCTCTATTCGTTTACACATAATCAAGTTGTACCAAATATAGTTCCATTTAGTACACATAAGTACTATGCTTCCATATCTCAATTTTATATTCAAACAGCAAACATTATTCCAAATTTTAGGTTTCCAGCTCTCTCCGTTCGCCCAAATCCAAATTGTACCAAATCTAATGCCGTTTGGTACTATTCGTACACAAAAATATGAACTTCCAAATATGTCTCTATAGCTCAATCCTCAACAGTAATCTTAATTCTAACTTTCTGGTTTTCAGTTCGATCCTTTCAAGTATAATCCAACTTGCACTAAATTTAGTATCATATAGTACTTTTCGTACCAATAAGTACGAATTTCTTAAATCCTACACTCCAGGTCTATCTGTTCACCTAATTTTAACTTGTATCAAATTAAGTACCATTTAGTCCTTTTCGTACGATTTTTTTAAATCTACCCCAATCCTCTACTCCAATAGTAGTCCTAATTCGTATTTTCAGAATTCCATCTCAATACGCTCAACTAAGTACAAATAGTACCAAATTTAGTACCATTTCGTACTTTTTATATATACAAGTACGAATATCTTAAACCATTTCCATACATCAGCACTTTTAGAACACTTAAAGTTCGAATTTCCAAAAACCCTTTTGTACATCTTTCTAATTTTTCATCAGTGACCCACATGCCAAATTTCAGCTCTTCCCGTTCGCCTAATACAAAGGGTACCATATTTGGTACATGTTATTACTTTTCGTACCATTCTAGTTCGAATTTCCAAAAACCCAGCTTTATCTCACGCCTACACACCAACAGCAACCCTCACTGAAAATGCCAAGCTTCTAGCTTTAGCCGTTTCGTCTGGGGTCAGTCACTCACTCACTCACTTAACGCTAAGCTCTTTTGTATATATATATAGATGTTGTTTAAAATGATGGGAATTGTTTTCAAACCTTTTCATAAATACTAGAATATAATACCAATCAATGAACTCTGATAGATTAACTCTTATTTCAAATATATTTTTGAAAGAAACAAATAGTAAATAAGAATTCCATAATGAAGTTTTTGATGACCTCAGTCATCGATCAATTTAATGTATATTCGCAAACGATCACGCAATAATTTTATTTTTGATTTTTTTTGTATATCATTTGTATTTATTAAAATTAGTTATCAATAATATTTATTTTTTTATGTTGATTGGGGAATCTCAATTAGACACATAATACAATCCAGCTTTAAACAAGTCAAGCAAATACATATTTAAATAAACAAGTTTATATATTAAGAGACAATGGTATTCAACTGTTAATGTTCGGTTCTCTTACCTATAAAACAACACTCCCTGTAGTTAACCATGTGGGGCATTTTGAAAAACTTTATCATGTTATGATCGCTCAACGATAGCCCTGTTCAACCATGGAACTGGTGCCCTTGTTTACATGTATAAAAAAGTTCGTTCTGTTTTAGTAAGTCATTTCATATGGCGGTTTCTTATTTGTTCTCTGAGAATTTTTTCCTTTCACACCTCTACTCAACGTAAACAAAAAGTGTGTGGTGGGGGGTACAATAATATCAAGAACAACAAAACATAAACATGTGTGCTAAACTGAACAGAGAGAAAAATAACAGAGAACAAGAGTAGTAAAATATTAAAATTATAATTCGCGTACATGCTGATCAGTGATCACAACTAAGAGTATCTAAAAGTCACCGTGAGACACAATTGATGAAGAGAAGATTGACCACCAACGAATATTTTTTGAAAACTCATTCTCATACCAAAAACTGATAAAACAATCAACAGAGTTGTTCTGACCAATAGTTTAAAATGGGTTACTGTTTATGAAATCGGGTTGATAAGACCGGTAATGAAGGTGTCATGACAATGCAAAAATATGCGGACATTAAGAATTTTTCAGCGTAACAGTTGCGATTTGAAGGAAGAAAAAAATCGTAATATGGGAAGGCTATTAAGAGCTATTTATACCCTCCACCATAAGGAGGAGTGTGTATTAAATTTGTCATTCCGTTTGAAACATCACGAAATATACACCGAAGACCCCACAAAATGTATATGGGCAATATTGCCAAGGTTCACCCTTTTATAACTCGGGAATTACTTAAGTATATGAAAAAAGTGAATAGTTTTGGGTTAATTGATCTGTCGTTGCAAAACTGTTCATGATATTGACCCCGAAACTTTATTTTGGTGGAAGCTGTGTCTACTTTAATGTAAAATAATACCCTGTACCACAGTGTGGTGAAGGGTATAAAAAATGTGTAAAAACAGGTTGAGGCGAACCAGTTTTTTTATGTTCTCTATCGATTTGTGATTAAACCACTCATTTCACGGTCCTCGTGTTAAAGTAAAACTAGAAGCCAACAAAATGGGGTATACGCCTCTTATGTATAATTTTTCAACATTTTAACTGCATCTTTACCTTTAAATTATGCTGATATTTTGAAGCTCGATTTTGAGTGTTTTTTGAATTTTTCTTCTAGTTTTAATACGCAAACAGGAATTTCTAAAAATCGATTATAATATTAATCTGAGTAATTTGATATATATTTTGTATGTATTATATATGTATTATGCACAACTTCAGAGTAATACCCATCGGAATGTGGAAATTTTGTGCGATCAAATTTCTAAAAAACCTATTTTTCGGTCCAAATGTTTAGATCTGTCAATTGAATGGTTTTAAGGTTAAGGGTAAGGTTTTTTCCGTTTCGGATGATATAAAATCTTCTACGTGAAAATCCATCTACTAGAACGGCAGGAACGGGCCTTCCAAAAACACGAAATTTGGCAAAAAATTTTGTTTGAAAATATCGGGGATGTATTTGCTTTTTCTGTGGATAATTTCCTGTTACGGATTTTGTACTTTTGCGAAAATAGAGCATTAAAATCTTCAGCCGAAAGAGAGATGTACCCAATTTATCTCAAAAATAGATTGTGCTGGCACATCCATGGTTCTCAATGGACCCCATTGAAATGGTATAGATCGATGTATTTTTTTAGGGTGCACACCGAAATCGGATGCGCGTTAATGGCATATGGAGTTTTCGGAAATTATTCGCGTTTTACGATTTTTTGGGTACTTCAATGCAACATGTAGTACATCTTAGCCGTCAAATGAAATTTCGCAAAATATATATGGATTGGAAGATAAACTTCAGTTCTTTCTGGATACCGCATGCGCTTCAAATGATTTTGAGAATTACGCGATTTACACGCAATTTAAAATGTATATTTCATAATATAGTTTTATTTTAAGATTTATTCCTACTTTTCGAACCCCTTCATGTAATCATGTAATCATGTAAAGTGATTATTTTTATATATGTCATTTTTTCGGCGAAATTCGGGTAAAATTGCAGAATAACCAGAACATTTTTTTCTGAAATTTCTTGTATGAAATTAAAAAATAAATATGATGACATTATTTTTTCGAACTAAAAACAAATATTTTTCCTCAATATCTTGTTTTGTTGTCGCTGTGATTTACAAACCGCTACACGGACTTGTGTGATTTTGATATCATTTGATTCATCATGGTGGTGTTTAGATTATGTGGGTATTTTTAAATTAATTTTTAGGTGTGTGTATGTCATTAATATAATGAAAATATTAATCTCCTATATTTTTATTATTTTTCTCATATTTCGCGAAGATGTGCAACTTTTTCAAGATTAATATAATATATTCATATTCTTATTTTACGGAGAATATAAGGTATATATCAACGTTTTTGGTTAATATAAATGGCGTAATTTTAAGATTTTTTTTTTTAAACCTCGATAACTTTTGAGCGAATCAACCAACAATTTGATCGCGAACGGTTTCGGAGTCATAACATTTTTCTCTATATGTGTACAAAAAATCATTGATGTACCACGAAAACAAAAAAAAAAAAAAAAAAAAAAAACGATTTTTTTAAAATAGGATATTAAAAAATTTGCAATATTGCCCATATATTCTATAGCAAAATAAAATTCTATGTCGATTTATGCGTGTCCGTCTATTTTTTTGTGAATAAAGTACATATAGCATTTATCGTCTGATTAGATGACGTTTGACACAGCTCACTTATTTGGCCCAAGGAAGAGCCCTATTGAAATTGGAGAATATCGGTTCATAGATTAGATATAGCTCCCATATATAGTTTCGTCCGATTTTACCTAAATGGTGCACCAAACTCCCAAGGATTGACCGATTGGTACAAAATATTGCACAGCTTATTGAAATAGGTCCATATTGATGTGTACGACGTTTTGTGGAAATCGGTTCAGAGTTAGATATAGCTCCTATATATATTTTCTTCCGATTTAATGGTAAATGGTGTACCAAACTCCCAAGGATTGTCCGATTGATACAAAATTTTGCAAAGCGTATTGAAATAGGTTCATATTGATGTATACGAAGTTTTGTGGAAATCGGTTCAGATTTAGATATAGCTCCCATATATATTTTCGTCCGATTTTATATAAATGGTGCACCAAACACATAATATTTGTCCAATCGTGACAACATTTTGCATAGCGTACTGAACTAGGTCCAGTTTACTCCCATATATATTTACGTCTGATTTTATGTAAATTGTGCACTGATGAGCCTACGTCTGTTCGATATACACAAGATTAAAATAGTTCACAAGAAAACGTCCAAACCCATTAAGGAATTTAAAGTCAATTAAGATGTGAAATTGCACACAGAGATATAACTGAATTTTATATATGTTTTTATATGAAGCATGTTATCCGAACTAGAAATTTATATTTAAATTTTTGTTAAGTCATCGAGCATATAGAATCAATGCCTCTTATGAAGATAACAGACCGTTTCCTTGAATTTCTAATATTTCATCATAACGTTTGCGTTTTTATTAAATATTGACAATTAATAATAAATTATTTTAAGTTATATATCAATTAAAAAAATCTTAAGTGTACACATTACACAATCCAAAAGGTGGATTTCATATTTTCGAAAAATACTTTCATCAGACAAAATAACTAGTTTTGTTTTTTATTAAAGAGAACATTGCCTTTGGAGTTTTAATTTTATTTGTTGTTGTTGCACGCCATGTGAAACATTCTCAAAAGCCTTATACATAATGTTATGATCGCTTAAACGTAAATTAGTGCTGGGCAAGCATGGGAACTGTTGCCCTTGTTTACATGTATCAATAAGCTCGTTCTATACGTTCTCTTTTAGTAGGTCGTTTCATATGGCGATTGCTCATTTATTCTCTGAGCATTTTCTTTTTGCACATCTCTAACGTATATAAACATGTATGGGGGTACAAGAACAACAATGCTATCAACGTGAAGTTTAAACTTACTGAGCAGATAAACATTTAGTAAAGAGAGAGATAACACAATTATGTTAACATATCCACTGATCCCCCCAAACACTCTTAAAAAACCGACAAACATTTCAAACATAAATAAAACTCCAAAACAAGTTCAATTCTTAGTATAGCTTCGACTAACATAGTGCGAAGATAGACGGTACTATCGTATAATTTTGTCAGTGCCACGTGCTTGCTATTAAATTCAGAAGTTATTATTGTTGTGAATATTTTGCCGGCTGTGTCATGCGTTTCAAAATGTTATCGTCGTATTTATTTTTATTAATCGGTTTATTTACAATTGCGAATAATGGCATTGGTGCCTACAAATATTTGGGTGTCATACACACGGCGGCCAAATCACATTTCATTGTTGGTTCTTCGTTAATGAAGGCTTTGGCGGAAAAAGGTCATGAAGTTTATGTTATCTCACCATTCCCCCAGAAGACACCAATTAAAAATTATCATGATATACCGGTGACATCGATACTGACAGTTATGGGAGGTGAGTATTGAAATTGTTAAAAAAGCCATTAAGAAAATACAAATGAGAAAAGGACGACTATATGATACTCTACACTATATGCTTAAGTACTCTAAAAATATTATTGTTGAGATTAATAATTTTATCGATTTGTATTAATCTATACATATTTCGGAAATATAGTAGATATTGTAAAGTGCATAGTAGAAACTTTATCCAAAATAAGACGATTTAATATATGGAAGCTAATCGATGTCTTGTAAACATGACAAACGTCATATATATAGTCATATATATATAAGTATATTACAAAATCGGGCGAAATTATTAAACCCTACACAATTATGTTGCCAGAGTATTATAGCTTTGAACAGTACGACGATCGTTATATCTAGACTAGTTCGATCTATACATGTGTGTCCGTCCCTCCGCCTGTCCATTATAATTTATAACAAGTAAAAAAGCGTTATGTTCGGCCGGGCCGAACTTTGAATACCCTCCACCATAAATATACTGACAGGTAATAGAAATGAAAATATAGGGAACATACCAAAAAGTGGACCTATACCGACATTTCTAAAAACGGATTATGTAATCCATAATGTAAATCATAATACAAATTTCAGAAATTTTTAATGGATAATTATACCTTTAACACGGTGAAAATGTGCCTCATCGAAATATTGGTTTCTTTGGACCAAATCCGTTTCAGAAAATTAAGACTTCCTCCAAACCTTGCCCATCTTATTATTTCTTCCAAACCTAGTTCAAATTCCAAGATGGTGAATATCGACCACTCCTTCAGGAACCTCCTCAAAGGGGCTAGGTTTAAATGCGGCCATAGTTCATTATCGAACCTTACGTTCTAATTTTTTATCTCGCTATCCTCTGCAACTGAAATGATTACAACCGAGACTTAGAGCCAAACTCAAAAAGGGGGTTATATAGGGACTACCCCAAAAAGGGGGCGAATATTAATAATTTTTGGTAGGGAGATTTGTTACCCTATACGACTACAAAATACCAAATTGCAGCAAATTCGGTGTAAAAATGCGCTCAAAAACCCCAAAAAACTGAAAATTGGGGGTACCGTTATATGGGGGCTATCCGAAAAATGGACCTATATTCATATTTTTTGGAGAGACTTGGAACCTATTAAGAACTAAAAATACTAAATTACAGCTATTTCGGCGGAAAAATACAATCAAGACCCCCAAAATACTGAAAATTAGGAGGTACCGGGGGCTACCAGAAAAAGTGGACCTATATTTATAATTTTTGGTGGAGACATTTAGTACCCTATAAGAACCCAATGTAGCAAATTTCAGCGAATTCGGTTGAAAAACGCGCTCAAGAACCCCAAAATACCGAAACTTGGGGGGTACCCTTATATGGGAGCTATGCCTAAACGTGGACCGATGAAGCCCATCATCGAACTTGACCTGCCTGCAGACAAAAGACGACTCTATGCAAAATTTTGGCTATCGATCTCAATTCGTTTAGACGTTAGAGTGATTACAACAGACAGACGGACAAACAGAAATACGAACATATATCGTCAAAGAATTTTACGCTGATCAAGAATATATATACTTTATAGGGTCGGAAATGATTATTTCGATGAGTTACAAACGGAAAAACAAAATGAATATACCCTCCATACTATGGTGGAGCGTATAAAAACGATACAGGCCACAGTTATGGGCCAATCGCCAAGAAATTTTGCATGTTGGGCCGGTTCTGGCCAATGAAGACCCCCATTATAATTTGTAAACACGATACCGACTACAGTTATGGATTAATCGTCACGAAATTTTGGCCAAAGAAAATCCCTATTGCTTTTGGTAATGATCCGTTAATATTTAGCGGATGAAATGGACCAAAAACTTTATTTTTGTCTGTTTTTCTACTCACTCTAGAGGCCACAATTATGATTCGAACATAACGAATTTTTACACAGAGAGGGAGTTAAACCCATAAAATAATGACTGTTTTAATATCATTTACAGTGATGTATCTACTCGGATTCGGGGATTTATACTTAAATATGTACAGGCATTCTGTTATTATTTAGACATTATACAGCAAGATCCGGTAATGATCAAGGACGACACCTAGAATTTTCGGTGATTTTGAGATGATATCTAGGGGTTGCAAAACTTAGAGGAGAAGTGACCAAATACTTAGAACGGCATTTTTATTTTAACCAAAATGACTGACTTCATTTTTATTTTATACCGTAAATATTCACCTCGGGAAAGAAAGATATGGAAAATATGCCCGGGTTAGAAAGTGGAGCTGTTGACCTATAATCGGTCAAGAGGGCACAAATATTGCTAAATGTTGCCCATGCTTAGAATATAGATCCGCAGAAAATTAGATTTTCGTGGTAGCTGTGTAGGGTATAATATGGTTCGGCCCCGTGCGATAATATTGTTCCGCTCACTGGTTTGGGAACTACATTTTTCTCTGGAATGAAAATGCGACCTTTTCTTTAAAAAAAATAAAAATCAGGCCGAATATTATATTCTGTTCAACAAGAGAATAAATGGTGGCCTACTTTTTTTAAATTGGAAACATGGTCAGTTGTGTACATGGTCAGAGAGAAAAATACACAAAGTACACATCCCAACGGGAATGCATTCATAATTTAAGTTCTTCGATTGTTTAACTAATGACTTCAATAAAATTCGATTAAACGAATGTCATGCTGACCACCATCGAATATCTCTGATGTTTGCTTCAAACTATTTCGTATCAAAAACTGATAAAACAAATATCAGAATGCTTTTGTCCAAGAAATAGCCTACTGCTGATCAAATCAGTTCGATGTGACAAATTGAAAAGATGACGAAATAATAAATGTTTGAAGAAAAATACTTTGATAACAGAAATATTAGAATGGGTCGTGTTCGAATGAAACATTTACCTTGGCAAATATTATCTAAAAAAACACGTCTTGCGATGTTCCTAAAAAAATATAGGCGTACGACAAATTATCTAACGAAAGTTCCTTCTTTTAAGAGGGAAGTTCTTTGAAAAACGAGTTTGAAAAAGAGAAAATATTAATTTAAAAGTTTTCTTAAAAAATAGTCTCTCAGATATAGGAGGAAAGGTTCTAAAAATAAGTCATAAAAAACAGACCTTTAGCAAGAAAGGTCATTGAAAAATATATGTTCGCAAATAATTGCCTTTGATCCTAAGATAACCTGGAGATAACCTAAGGTAACCTTATCAATTGCTAATTCAAATTATGTCTTCATTTTCTCATTCCAGATGAAATGGATAATTTATTTAAACACAATGAACGGAGTATGATGGAAAATATTGTAAACTATTATGAAATGGGTATTAATATCACGGAAGTGGTATTGCAAGAACCTAGCGTTCAGGAACTCCTGGCCAGTAATCATACTTTCGATGCTGTGATATGTGAGGTTTTCTTGTCCGAAGCTTTGTTTGGGTTCAGTGAACATTTCAATGCACCACTTATTGGTCTGGGTACCTTTGGAGCTGCCTCATGGAATACGGATATGGTAAGTACATTTCTCCTCTTCTTCTATACAAGTGAAATAATTTTTATATTTTCTAATTTAGGTTGGTTCACCATCGCCACCCTCCTATGTACCCGGTATTGGCTTGAAATTCAGCAATTATATGACTCTGACAGAACGTGTTGGAAATTTGGCATTTGTCACATTTGATCGGCTGTTTATGGATTTCTATTATTTGCCCAAACAGGCGGCCTTGTATGATAAATATTTCCCTCAGGCCAAGCGCAATATGTATGAGGTTAGAAAAAACACCGCCTTGGTTTTGTTAAATACCCATGTCTCGTTGGCCTTTTCCCGTCCCTATGTACCCAATCAAATTGAAGTTGGTGGTATGCATATAAATAGAAAGTCCAAGCCTTTACCAGAAGATATTGCCAAATTTATCAATGAAGCGGAACATGGTGTAATCTACTTCTCAATGGGTTCAAATTTAAAGAGTAAAAATATGCCCCAGGCAAAGAAAGATGAAATATTGAATGCATTCCGCAAACTCAAGCAGAGGGTCTTGTGGAAATTTGAAGATTCCGAATTGGAGGGTAAACCAGAAAATGTTCTGATACGCGATTGGTTCCCTCAAGATGATATTTTGGCGCATAAAAATGTTAAGGTGTTCATAACACATGGTGGCCTTTTGAGTACCACCGAGAGTATTTATCATCGCACCCCCGTGATTGGTATACCGATTTTCGGTGACCAATTCCTAAACATGGGTAATGCCGAAAAACAAGGTTATGGTTTGATGTTGGATTATCAAACATTGACAGCTGATAAACTTTCACATGCTTTGAATAGAATGTTAACGGACCCATCATTCCAACAACGTGTTAATGAAATATCCGATAGATATCGGGACCAAGAAATGCTGCCAATGGAAAAGGCCATCTTTTGGGTGGAACATGTTGTACGCCAGAAGGGTGCGAAATATATGCATTGTGCCGGTTTGGATTTAAGTTTTATTGAATATCATAATATTGATGCCATGCTGATTCTGTATGGTGGAATCTTATTCACCTTGTGCTGTTTTGTATATTTTGTGTATTTAATTATTAAGGGATTTGTAAAGAGTTTCGTCGCATCGAAACCAAAACGTAGTAAACAAAAGAAAAATTAAAGACTTGTAATAGATTAGTTTTTTTGTAATATTATGTAGATAATTTTTTATTAAATAAATATTTCATTAAATGATATTTTGAACATATTTAAAAAAAGCCACTCTTACTCTATTAGGTGAAACACTTAATTCTAAAATATTTTTAAAAAATACATTCTTTGTATAAGTTGACTTCAAGCCTATTTACAGTGTTGAAAAATATGTTAAAAAAGTTCAGTGTTCGGAAAAATATTAAAAATAAATTTGGAATTATAATTTCGAAAAAAATCCATGCCTTCATAGTCATTTAAAAACCAGTAAGGAAAGTAGTAAAGTCGGACTGGGCCGACTATATGATACCCTTCACCACTTTGGGTATATTCTACATATGTATCCTAACATATGTAGAATATATCTGAACCGATTTCAGGGAAATTTGCCAGAGACTAATTTATATTACATCATTACGTTGTGACAATCGGCCTAGCTATGGATCTCTTCACGAAGCTTAGCAACATCATAAATCTGATCTATATCTAAATCTGAACCAATTTTCACGAAACTTAGCACACGTCATTCTAGACATAATTGATAGGGCTCGTCCTTGGGCCAAATAAGTGACCTATGCCAAATTTCACCCAAATCGGATCATAAATGCAACTGTACTTTGTTTACAATGTAACATGGACAGATAGACAGCCGGACAGACGGACGGACATGCATAAATCGACTTAAAAAGGAACCATGTGTCTATCTCGTTTCCTTTTGCCTGTTACAAACATATGCACAAAGACATAATACCCTGTACCACAGTGTGGTGAAGGGTATAAATATATATTTTCAAATTCACCACTTGGTAGTTTAATAAGAAATATATATTTTTCTAAACTACCCTTGATGTCGTTTTAAAAATATATTAAAATCCACCATTAAACTCATTGTACATTAGAACTTTTTACCGGGTTAACCTACATTATGAGGATTTATTTGACATATATGCAAAGGAAATGACAATGAAACCCACTGGGTTAACGAAATCCGGTTAAATGTAAACGTACTGTTAGCTGTCCTATAAAAATATATATTTTTTAAAATCTTCAAAATGTTTTTTTTAAATTCACGCCTTGGTTGTCCTTTTGAATATATTTTTACAAACATCCACTCCCTGATTTAAAAAATCCACTCCTTGATGGAGTTTTATATAAAATTAAATCCATGCCCTGATTTAATAAAAAATCACGTCTTGATGGGGTTTTACAAAAAATCAAATTCACGCCCAGATTTAAAAAAATCCACTCATTGATGGAGTTTTACAAAAAATCAAATCCACTCCTTGATGGTGTTTTACAAAAAATCAAATCCACGCCATGATTTAAAAAATGCACGCATTGATGGGGTTTTACAAAAAATCAAATCCACGCCCTATTTTTAAAAATCTACGCCTTGATGGGGTTTTACAAAAAATCAAATCCACGCCTTGATGGGGTTTTACAAAAATCCACGCCCTATTTTTAAAAATCTACGCCTTGATGGGGTTTTACAAAAAATCAAATCCACGCCCTATTTTTAAAAATCCACGCCTTGATGGGGTTTTACAAAAAATCAAATCCACGCCCTAATTTTTTAAAATCCAAGCCTTGATGATCTTTTTAATTTTTTTATATAATCCACGCCTTGATATTTCTTGAAAAACATTTTTTATATAATCCACGCCTTGATATTCCATGAAGAATTTATTTTTTATGAAATCAACGCCTTGAAAAAATATTTTTTATGGAGTCCACGCCTTGAAAAAAATATTTTTTATGAAATCAACGCCTTGAAAAAAATATTTTTTATGAAATCAACGCCTTGAAAAAAATATTTTTTATGTAATCCCCGTCTTGAAAAAAATATTTTTTATGGAATCCACGCTTTGAAAATAATATTTTTTATGAAATCAACGCCTTAAAAAAATATTTTTTTATGAAATCTGCGCCTTAAAAAATATTTTTTATGAAATTCACGCCTTGAAAAAAAGTATTTTTTTTTAAATCCTCGACTTAAAAAAAATATTTTTTATAAAATCCCCGCCTTAAAAAATATTTTTTAAAAAATATTTTTTATTAAATCTACGCCTTGGCATTCCTTGATTTTTTTTACAAATACACGCCATGTAATTTTTTTAAATCATGAAGAGGTGTTAAATTTTTTTTTTAATTCTTTGAAACATATTATATTTGTTTTTATTACAATTTCTAGCAACAATTTTATAAATATTTATTAATAAAAATAACTTATGCACTTTGTGTGCATACCAAATTTTATTCACTTTTCTGTTTTCTATTCGTCAAGATATTTTTCAAAAAATATATTAGGCTTAAAAATTTAACAAAACCAAAGACACAAACAATCACCCCCAGTAGTCCGCAAATCAATAAAAATCCCGCACAATCCCAACTATGTTTTTGCCAAAAGTTCAAATATTGCGCCGGAGATCTAAGGAATGGAGCTCCACGATGTCTAATGACAAATTCCGTCCAATAGATGGCTTTTTCCAATGGATCCATAGGCTGATCTCGATAACGTAATGATATTTCTTGGGCCCTTTGCAGATATTTTGGATTTTCCATTATTTCCCGAATACTTGTTGTAAACCCAGTGGTATTCAGTGTCGCATAATCGATGGCAAGTGCAAAACCATACTGCTTGGCCCTTTGGATGTTACGATGCTGATCGAAAAATATGGGCATACCCAGAATGGGTTTACCACAATAAATCGACTCGGTAAGACTTAACAGGCCACCGTGACTTATAAACAATTTCACTTTGGGATGTTGCAAAATATCACCCTGGGGAAACCATTTGTTAATGAAAACATTCGGGGGTTTATTCGCCATCAGAGAGGGGTTTTCAAATTTCCATAATATTTTATAGGGTAGCTGGGAAAATGTTTGCAATATCACTTTTCGAATGGGTTCGGGAAAATGTTCACTTCTGATATTCGAACCCATGGAAAAATAAATAACATCTTGTGTAGAATTGCTGAGGAAGTCATAAATGTCTTTGGGTAATGGCTGTGGCTTGTGTTGCAAATGAAAACCCCCTACCTCTATCATGTTGGTCACATAGGGTCTCGGAAAGCTTAGACTGTAATGTTGATTTAATAATATCAAGGAGATATTTTGCCGTAATTCCTCCAGGGATTTTGTGGCATTGGGAAAATATTGACGATATAAGCTATCATGTAGAGGGTTGTGTATTAAAACTCGATGCAATAACATGAGTATGTTATGCCACATATTTTCCAAACGTTGCCAAAAGTCCATACGTTCCATGGAATTACCACTGAACAAAGGTGTATAGGCCAATGGGGATATATTGTCCACCAAGGCATCTATGTAGGGGTCTGTCCCATATGAAGAGAAGCCAATTAGCGAGGCCTTAAAATGCTCAGCAAAGCCATATAAAACATCTGTTTGCAATGTCTCCACAATAACTAAATCGAAATGTTCTTCGGGAGATTTTAGCAGCTTCTGGACATTTTCGTTTTCCATTACATCTTTAACGATTGAACTGTAATACCAAGAAAACCCCAAAATTTCTTTGAATTTATTCATACGAAGATCGGCATAGCTAAATAAATCTGAAATGTAAAAAATAATAAAAACATTTGTTTAAAAAATCAAACGGTTTAATTTACCTCCAACATATTTTAAAACTTCGGGTACCTCAATGTCCCGATAATTCTCCAATGGCTTTTTCTGTGGAAAGGCACTGATAACCGTGACTTCGTGGCCCCTTGCAGCTAAGGTTTTTAAATAAGGTTGTACCACCAAATATTGTGATGGGCCAGGAAATGGAAATATGGCCAATATTTTGGCACCCTGACCAATGGATACACCATTAATCAACAAAATTGAGATAAGTAATTTTAAATATTTCCAAAATTCCATTTCTTCCACTAGACTTTGCTTAACTTATGCTGTCGGAATACTAATCGCAACAAACAGTTTTAGATTTGTAGAGTTCTTTAAAGCTTGTTATCATATTTTGAATCCAACTACACAGAGAAAGAGTAACAGAAGAGAGCACCCAAAAAATTAATTTAATGCCCAATTTGTTTCATTGTTAACAATTTAATTAAACAGGGTGTGTTCGGTTCTTTGTTCGTATTATTACGATCAAATTTAATCGTTTGTAGAATAAATGTGGGGTTGAGTGTGTGGCGATCGTATTTTGTTCTGATATCATTACACTGTGCTACCGTAGCCTTGACATTGATTAACGTTTGTTGGTGCACATTGCCGGTGAGAACAATGCACAACTCTCCGTCTCTCTCTTCCTCTCTTTCTGACTGGTCACTCATTCATCAACAAAGTGAATTGAGTACCGGTTTCGTTATCGATGTTGCCATTCAATAGTTTGCTGTATTAAATTGGTCGTATTTGTGTTGAAACCCTATAATTTTGGGTTATGGCCAAACAAAACATTAGACAACAATCGATTATTTATATACAGATCTGAACATTACGATTGTAAAATAAGAACGAAAGTTTGAAAGTACTGAAAATATTGCGGTATTGTTATGATACTTATACTTGTACCGATATTTCAAATTTTTAATACTAAACATCCTAAAAATGTCTGTGCAAAATTACAATCTTCGAAATATCCAAAATCTGTGACTCGAAAATTGGCAACACTGGAGGTGATTTCAAATATACAATAGGGGAATGATCAATGAGAGTAGGAAACAATGAAAAAAGTTTCTTTCTATTCGTTGATTAAATTAATGAATTAGACAACATTGACGGAGAATGTTTAGAGAGGAAGTTCAGTACAACGTTGAAAACAAAAATGACCTAACTAAAAGATGACTGGTTTTTATACCCTTCACCACACTGTGGTTTAGGGTATTATGTCTTTGTGCACATGTTTGTAACAGGCAAAAATAATCGAAATAGACCCATGGTTCCTTTTGAGAATATGCATAGAATCACTTTCTGAGTCGATTTACGCATGTCCGTCCATCCGTCTGTCTGTCCATGTTAAATTGTAAACAAAGTTCAGGTCGCATTTATGATCCGAATTAAATGAAATTTGGCACAGCTCATTTGTTTGGCCCAAGGACGAACCCTATAGAAATTGGGAAAAATCAGTTCAGATTTAGATATAGCCGCCATATATATTTTCGTCCGATTTAAGGTGAATGGTGTACCAAAGTTCCTATATATCTTTCGATTTGCACGAAATTTGGCATAACGTACTGAATTAAGTCTAGAATGATGTGTGGAAAGTTTCGTGAAAATCGGTTCAGATTTAGATATAGATCCCATATATAGTTTAGCCCGATTTTAGGTAAATAGTCCACTAAAGTCCCTATATATATTTCGATTTGCATGAGATTTGGCACAGAGTTATGAATAAGGTCTAGAATGATGTGTGTTAAGTTTCGCGAAAATCGTTTCAGATTTAGGTATAGCTCCCATATATATCTTAATCCGATTTAAGGTAAATTGTGTACCAAAGTTCCTATATATTTCGATTTGCACGGAATTTGGCATAGCGTACTGAATGAGGTCTAGAATGATGTGATGAATGAATGATTTAGATATAGCTCCCATATATATCTTTGTCTGATTTAATGTAAATTTTGTACCAAAGTCCCTATATATCTTTCGATTTGCACGAATTTTGGCATAACGTATTGAATTAAGTCTAGAATGATGTTGCTAAGCTTCGTGAAAAGATCCATAACTAGGCCGATTGACACAACGTACTAAAGTAATATAAATTAGTCTCTGGCGACGTCTGTTAGGATATATATGTACAATATACCCAAAGTGGTGAAGGGTATCACATAGTCGGTCCATTCCGACTTTACTACTTTCCTTACTGGTTTTGAATGCATAAGGAATGAAATAAAAGGTAGAGGTTGAGAAATATTATCTGAAAAATTCGGGCATGGTGTTTAAAGAATATGTGTTTAAATCGTTCACATGAATGGTACTTTTTTAGCCCTCATCATGATGTAGGGTGTATATTAAATATTCTGGGAACAATGTACAAGTCGCTTTTATGATCGAATTTGGATGAAATTTGGCACAGTACACTTATTTGGCCCAAGAACGAACCCTGTTGAAAGTGCAGAAAATCGGTTCAGATTTAAATATAGCTCCCATATATAGTTTTGTCCGATTTTATGTAAATGATGCACCAAACACCCAATATTTGTCCAATTTGGACAAAATTTTGAACATCGCACTGAATCAGGTCTATGCTTATGCGTGCGAAGTTGTGTTGGAATCGGTTCAGATTTAGATATAGCCACCATATATAGTTTCGTTCGATTTTATGTGAATGATGCACCAAACTCCCAATATGTGTCCGATTGACACAACATTTTGCAATGAGTACTGAATTATGTCCAGACTAATGCATGCGAAGTTTTGTTAAAATCGGTTCAGATTTAGATATAGCTCCCATATATAGTTTTGTTCGATTTTTCGTGAATGATACACCAAACTCCCAATATTTGTTCGATTGGGACAACATTTTGCACAGAGTACGGGATTTAGGTCCAGACTGATGTCTGCGAAGTTTTGTAAAATTAATTTTTGTGAATGGTGCACCAAACTCCCAATATTTGTCCGATTGGGACAAAATTTTGCGCAGAGTACTGAATTACGTCTAGACTAATGAATGCGAAGTTTTGTTGGAATCGGTTCGGATTTAGATATAGCTCCCATATATAGTTTCGTCCGATTTTATATGAATGATGGGCCAAATTGATTGAGCAACATTTTTCATAGCGAATGTTATTGAGGAGAAAATGATGTGTGATAAGGATTGTTGAAATCTGTTCAGATTTTGATATAGGTCTTATATATACTATCGTTCGATTTTATGTAAATGGTGCACCCAAGGGCCTATGTTTGTGCGATTTACACGAAATTTGGCAGAGGGTATTAAACTGAATATAGAGTGATCACAAACAACAAATGGTGTGTGTAACGGTTACTCAATTAGGTCCATGTTTATATATATAGCTCCTATACATAATTTGACTCGATTTCATACAAATGGTACACCATTTGTCCGTTTGACATGCAATTTTTCATTGATTTCAGAATGGTATGTGTATGGGGTTTTCAAATTGGTTCAAATTTAATTTCGTCCTCCAAAGATTCTATGACTGTTCTATCTACAGGATATTGTAGATATTATGGTGAAGGATATCACATAGTCGGCGCCGTCCAACTTTTGAACTTTCCTTACTGGTTTAATTCTTTAAGAAATATGCTTAAAAAATCCCCATTTCTATTGGCTTTCAATTTTACATAATCTCCGTCTTTGTAAAAATGTATTTTTGAAATCTACGTAAATTTGCCATTCCGAAGGGTGTCGAAAATTTTTTTTTTCAAACAAATCCATATTAAATATCCATTTATTTACTTTGTATTTGATTGCGATAAGTTATACATAATTCTGTTCTGTTCACCCATTAATTAATTTTGAACCCCTGGTATATCTGTGAAATGCGAATATGAACACTTTTCAAGTTTGTGTGAGACAACATACACATAGACATCACATATATCTCATATTGATGGTAGAGCCATTAAATTTTATTTATTTTTAATTGCTCTGATTAACAGCAATCTATTGAATATTATCGAATATCACGTTTTCTTTAAATTTGTGGGTGGGTGGAACTGATCAATATTTTTTTTTTGTGTGAAGTGGACGTGGCTGATTTTCACGTGCTACCACACACAAATTTCTGCAAATCATTCAAACATTACTTTGTGGATCTTTCTCTGCAATGATAAAACGAAAACTGAAAAAGAAAACAAATTCCTAGACAATTTTTTTTGCCGATAACTTAGACCAACAACTGGCATTTATGGATTAGATAACTTCATGTTTACCAATTCTATTTATCTTCCCGTTGATTACATTCAGCACATTTTTGACGGTTACTACATTGGGGTCGTATATAAATGAAGATCATTTATAAATAGTAAAACTTTCAATTAGAATCTCGTAGTTGTCCCACAGAGAAAGGTTTCGGAATGAGTTACAAATTAGTGATAAATATTTTGGTGTTATTACCATTGGTGAATAGTGCGAAAATCTTGGGAATTTTTCCAATTCCCAGTCCTTCACATTATATTTTGATGGTACCATATTTGAAGGAATTAGCCGCTAGAGGACATGAAGTGACATCGATTAGTGGATTTCCGCAAAAGGAAAATATAACGAATTTTCGCGATGTAGCCGTAATGGAAGTTTTTGATAACTATGATGGTAGGTTTGTGAATTTGTTGTTTAAAGAAATCCACTCAATTGTTGGTTTATAAAAAATTATTTTAAGAAAAATCCGAGCCTTTGTAATCCATGAAAAAAGATAGATAAAAATATCCGAACCTTTTTAATCCTTAAAAAAATATTTTAAGAAAAATGCGTGCCTTTGTAATCCTTAAAAACAAATCTGGGCCTTTGTAATCCTTGACAAAAAAAAATCCGTGCTTATGTAATCCTTGAGAAAAATCCGTGCATTTGTAATATTTGAAAACCCCGTATAATTTCTGTAGTTCTTTAAACACATTGTTAAAAAATAAAATATTTTTAAAAATAATGTAATTTTACATTTAAGGTTATTTTATTTTAAATTAATTAAAAAATATCCATCCTTTTAAAATTTTCAGAAATGATCGCAGACATTCAACAGTATCGTAGCAAATGGGATGAAATGGGTCTGATATCCGAATTCATGGTCCAACTAACCGAGAAGGTATTGAAAAATCCCGGCGTTCAAAATTTACTGAAAACTGAACAATTCGATTTAGTCGTTTTGGAATCAGTTCATATGGATGCTTTGTATAGTTTTGCCCGGCATTTCCAAGCACCCCTAATTGGTTCGTCTTCATTCGGTACAGATCCCATCATTGATGAGTTAATGGGAAATATGTCACCCTTCTCGTACACCCCATTGGTAACAATTGGCTATACGGAACGTATGTCCTACCGGCAAAGGATGCGTAATGTTATCTATCAAGTAATGGAACTCTTCCATGTTCGTTGGGTCCATTTACCACGCCAACGTCAATTAATGGCCAAATATATGCCACACATCAAAGAGGATCTATGGGATTTGAGAACAAATTTCTCACTGATGCTGCTAAATGAACATTTCTCGTTGAATTTCCCAAGGCCATTTTTACCCAACATGATCGAGGTGGGAGGTTTGCAGTTAACACATAAAACCATACAACCTTTGCCGGAGGATATACAACAATTCCTGAATTCCTCAACAGAGGATGTGATTTATTTCTCGCTGGGTTCAAATGTCAAATCTAAAGATTTCTCCCCAGAACGTTTGGAAATGATTGTAAATATTTTCAAAAAGTTACCCTATAAAATTTTGTGGAAATTTGAAAATCCCCATCTGCCCGGCAAGCCGGATAATGTTTTAATTAAACCCTGGTTTCCACAAACCGATGTTTTGGCCCATCCTCGCGTCAAGCTGTTCATATCGCATGGTGGCCTTCTCAGTACCACCGAATCGATATATCATGGAAAACCTATGTTGGGGCTGCCCGTATTCTATGATCAAATGAAGAACATCAATAAAGCCACCCAGGCTGGATATGCTTTGTCCTTGGATTTCTTTACCTTTCCGGGTGACAAATTTGAAGCTAGCATTTGGGAAATGATGACCAATGATAAGTACTACAAGAAAGCCAAAGAAATATCTGGTATATATCATGATCAGCCGATGAAACCATTGGACTTGGCCGTGTATTGGACGGAATATGTCATCCGTCATAGAGGTGCAGCCCACTTACAAAATCCAGCTCAGAAAATGAATTTCCTGCAAAAACACAGCATAGATACTGTGGGAGTGTTGATCTTAGTGGCGGGTCTCATTGCAATTGCTGTGGTTTATGTAGTTTTTAAAATGGTGAAAATAGTTTTAAGTAAAAATTTTAGAAAGGAAAAAATTAATTGAAATTGATTTTAAATATTGAATTTTAGAATAAAATTGAATAAAATAGTTGTAGGAAAATGATTTTAAAATAAAAACCAAAAAATTACAAATCTCATCCAAATATGAGAAACCTACTCATTTTTTAGAAAATTTATATTATTTCCCATTTCCAATAAATTAATATATATATATATATAACCTCCACCTTTACGTCTTATACAACTTTACTACATCTTTTGTCTTAGGTTATAGAAAAAATATAAAATTAATAAGATTAAATTATCTATAGGAGGTCCATGGTTATTATTTGCTATGTCATGTCCCAGCTATAATGCAAGTGGGCATAACACACAATTTATTTCTACGTTTGTTGTGTGACTTTGCAAAAACGCCGGTATGCTACTATTTTACAACGTGCAAATATTTATAAAAATTCTAATTTTTTCGAATCAAATTTTTTTTATTAGCTACTGCACATATAAATGTCAGTGCTTGTTTATAGTTGATAATGTAATAATTTAACCCATTGGTAACAAGTGTGTATTCAAATTGCTTTAAGGATGTTTAAAAAATATTCCTCAGAAATAACATGCTATGTGATGACCATTTTAAAAATATACTTAAAAAATGTAAGACTTTTAAAGTTAAGTTCAAAAATCCACGCCTTGTGATGGTCATTTAAAAAATATCCTTAAAAAATTTAAGACTTTTGAAGTTAACAAGTTAAAAATCCACGCCCTATGAAGTCATTGAAAAAATATTCTTTAAACCAGTAAGGAAAGAAGTAAAGTCGGACTAGACCGACTATATGATACCCTTCACCACTTTGGATATATTCTACAGACGTCGCGTCTTTGTTATACATCTATATCTGAACCGATTTCAGGGAAGCATTCTAGACTTAATTCAGTACGCTATGCCAAAATTCGTGCAAATGAAAAGATTTTCAGGGACTTTGGGACAGGTCCATTTACCTAAAATCGGTCGAAACTATATATGGGAGCTATATCTTAATCTTAGAAACTTAGCACACATCATTCTAGACTTAAATCAGTATGCTATGCCAAATTTCGTGCAAATCGAAAGATATATAGGGACTTCGGTACACCACTTACATTAAATCGGACGAAAATATATATGGGAGCTATATCTAAATCTGAACCGATTTTCTCGAAACTTAGCACACATTATTATAGACGCAATTCAGTACGCTATGCACAATTTCGTGCGAATCAAAAGATTTCCAGGGACTTTAGTGGAATATTTAACTAAAATCAGGCGAAACTATATATGGGAGCTATATCTAAATCTGAACCGGTTTTCATGAAACTTTGCACACATCATTCTAGACTTAATTCAGTACGCTGTGCCAAATTTCGTCCAAATCGAAAGATAAATAGGGACTTTGGTACACCATTTACCTTAAATCAAACGAAAATATATATGGGACCTATATCTAAATCTGAATGTATTTTTCCCAATTTTAATAGGGTACGTCCTTGGGCCAAACAAATGAGCTGTGCCAAATTTCATCCAATTCGAATCATAAATGCGACCTGTATTTTGTTTACAATTTAACATGGACACGGACAGACGGATGGACGGACATGCATAAATCGACTCAGAAAGTGATTCTATGCATATTTTCAAAAGGACCATGGGTCTATCGCGATTATTTTTGCCTGTTACAAAAAAATGCACAAAGACATAATACCCTGTACCACAGTGTGGTGAAGGGTATAAAAATCGACGCCCTATGAAGTCGTTGAAAAAATATTCTTTAAAAATCCACGCCTTTGGAAGTCATTGAAAAAAATATTCCTTAAAAAATTCACGCCCATAGGAATCCTTGAAAAAAAAAACTATGAGAAATATTTTTTGTACAGGCAAACACGCTTCACATGCTTATCAGTCTGTACTGTAGTTTACTCCCCGTAATCTCACCCAAACATACCACATGTGGCAATAGAAAACTTCTATCTTATTTTAGAATGAAAACATTCGACAAGAAAAATCTCTTATCTCAAGTGGACTGTAGACAAAAATAGATCCCTGTTTATCTAAACATTCTCTCCTTAAGACAACTATCATTATCATTTTTATACGATAATCCCTGTTCGCTATGCGAAAACACTCATATTTGCTTCACTTTACATTACAATAGCGGCCCGATAAGGATTAATTAATTTTCTTTCTTCTCTCAAACGTTTTGCAAGGCTGTCACTTGTGTTTACAATATACACACAAACCCACACACACCCACAAATAAACTTAATTTATGGTAGGCACTTACATGGTTCTAATCTACAAAACTAACCGCTTTTAGGTCAGTTTAAAAAAATACATCGTCGCGATAGCATCTTCTATTTGAAAAACCTAAACGAATTATTATTGGAAAAAATGAAATTTCGGATAAGACTCTCATATCTGTTAACATATTACCTTGCAATTGCATTTTCGTTTACTGAGGCCGTTAAAATTCTAGCTGTATTTCCATTTCCGGGTCCTTCGCAATATATTTTGGTACAGCCCTACTTAAAAATGTTGGCCTCCAAGGGCTATGAGGTGACATCGATAAATGCATTTCCACAAAAACAAAAAGTGGCTAATTTTCGTGATATACCAGTGACTGAGGTTTTTGATAATTATGCGGGTGTGTAAGAGTGCACCAGCGGGGGAGGATAATTCGTAATTTAAAATAATTCAAAAATATTTTCAGATGTAATCTCTGGCGCCCAAGTGGAACGCAACAAATGGGATGAAATGACATTTCTGTCGGAATTTTTCTATAACATAACCGAAACGGTTTTGAAAAATCGCCAAGTCCAAAATCTAATGCAGAATGAACATTTCGATTTGGTAATAGTGGAGACGATACTTACCGATGCCTGGTACGGCCTGGGCAGGCATTTCCAGGCACCCATAATTGGTGTATCGTCATTTGGTACAGATCCGGTGATTGATGAACTTATGGGTAATATGTCACCATTTTCCTATACCCCCTTGGTGACAATTGGTTATACGGAAAATATGACCTACATGGAGCGGCTGTGGAATGTAATTTATCAGCTACTGGAGCTACTGCATGTTCGAATGGTTAGCTTGCCACGTCAGAGGACATTAATGGCCAAATATATGCCACACATCAAAGAGGATTTGTGGGAGCTGAGATCGAATTTTTCCCTGATGTTATTGAATCAACATTTCTCGCTGAGTTATCCAAGGCCATATGTACCCAGCATGATACAGGTGGGTGGATTTCAATTACACTACAAATCCAATCCCTTGCCAGCTGATATACAGGAATTTCTAAATTCCACTCAAGAAGATGTGATTTATTTCTCCATGGGATCAAACGTTAAATCAAAAGATTTTCCCCCGGAACGCCTCGCAATGATAAATGAGATCTTTCGCAAATTGCCCTATAAAATTCTATGGAAATTTGAAAATACCCAACTGCCCGGCAAGCCAGATAATGTTTTCATAAAACCCTGGTTTCCCCAACCCGATGTTTTGGCTCATCCTCGGGTTAAGCTTTTCATATCACATGGCGGCTTGCTAAGTACCACGGAATCGGTGTATCATGGTAAGCCCATGTTGGGATTGCCAGTCTTTTATGATCAAACCATGAACATTAATAAAGCCAAGCGCGCCGGCTTCGCTTTATCTGTAAATTTTTATACTCTACCCAAAGAGGAATTTGAAGCTGCCATATTGGAAATGATGAATAATCGTAAATACTTGGAGAAAGCTAAAGAAATTTCTAGAATTTATCATGATCAACCGGTAAAACCATTGGATCTGGCTGTATTTTGGACAGAATATGTCTTGCGTCACAGAGGAGCACCTCATCTGCAGTCTCCGGCTCAGAAAATGAGTTTCGTAAAAAAACATAGCATTGATACGGTGGGCGTTTTAATTGCAGAATTTGTAGTTATTGCTTTGTTGTTTATTTGTGTAATTTTGAAAGTTTCGAAGGTAGTTTTTGCAAAGAAAGCAAAGAAGCAAAAAATTAATTAAATAATAAATAAATTTTTAAAACAAAATATTATATTTTGATTGATAATGTTTGCTAAAAAAATAAATAAATACATCGTCCACAATGATGATTGTATTCAAAATTCCTTCAATTTATCGGGATCCTAATATAGTATAAGTAAGCAATTTAGGAACAAGGCTACCTGTCGCCAGACCAAACTTACACTCTACAAGACGCTGATACTACCCGTGCTGGTGGGTATGGATCTGAAGCTTGGTTACTTGCGCAAATAGATGAGGCAGCTCTTGGAGTGATTGAGTATCAGCGTCGAATGAACCACGAGTTATACCATCTATACACTGACGTATCAAGCGACTACGGTGGATAGGTTGTGCTAATGGATGAGGATACCCCAACTCAAAATGCATATAAAAGCGAGCCATCTGATCTGAAAGTGGAAGATAACATATCGAAATATGATCATCCCAATTGAAAAAAACTGCGCACAAGACTGAGCTATGAACTTCAACCGACAGGATATTAAACGGAACTTGGTATGGGGACTATGTGAAACCATGAAACCATCTAAAAATTTCTCAAAAAATATTTTTCTTCGTCCAGGAACACAGAATGTCAAATTACAGCCACTTCGGTGGTGAAATGTGGCTGAAATCTTCACAATACCGAACAGGGGCAGGAATCTGGACTCTCGAAAAAGCGAGGTCAAAAAACAGACTGCCAGAATACAGTTTCTTTGGTGATTAAAGTCTTCTATGGGGTCTATGTCATTAAAAGAATCAAAATATTTATGCCATTCTATGTATCTTAAATATTCCGATTTCTATCGTGTTTTCAAAAGAAGTATATGACAAAATCGACACAGCAAGAATATATATCATCCCATCTGGGTCTTTTGGGCATCATTCAAAATATCTAAAAACATTTTCATTTGCACAAAATATTTAAAAGGGTTTAGGTCTATACACACTTCATGAGAGACCTCTGGTATCTGAAATTAATATCCGAAAGGAGTTCGGTTTATAGAAGTTATTTTGAAGTGTTCTCTATCTAGAGAATTGCTGTTAAAAGTTATTCCGTCAAACATAGAAATCTCTATATAGTAGTTGAAGATCTTAGAGGAGACGTCTGTTTGTTGAAGATGTTTTCTCTTCTATAGAAAATTTTACCTCTGTTCTGGAAGGTCTTCTCGATATCTCTTTAATATAGAGAATACCTTTCGAAAGACCAGTCTTGGAAGGATCATCTCTTAAAAATGTCTCCTGTCTATAGAGGTATTCCAAATTTGCCATTTGATTCTAGAAAACATTCGATTGTAGTATAAACTTTGTCTTCTATTTCAAGAAGTACCGTTGGTTGTCTTCTATTTATAAAAGTCCTTGAGACTCTTCTGTCCAAAAATATTTGTAGAAAGTCTGTATGCCAATAGAAATCCATAAGAAGGATCATATGTATATATAAGATACCTTTATATATACATACGATATATTTTTGTCACATAATGAACAAAAAAATATTTATCATCGAAATTAGTTATTGAAAGTTTTTCAACAAATTCTGACCAAATGATTATGTAACTATATAAACGACATGCTCATGACAACATAGACAGCTGTAAGTAGACCTGTTCTCAACTACGCTGTCCCAGTTTGGACTTCGTTTTTTAGCGATACGCAATGGAGAATGCTTCAAACCACACAGAATAATGTTTCAATGGAGACTTGCCGGGATCGAACACATTTGTTCCAATTACAAATAGGGCCTGAATGTACAGGTAATTTATTTATATGTCGAATTAAATCCACAGATCTTCGTCACATTGATCTGTAGCTGATGTTCAAAATAAAAAGTGTTAACATCATTGAAATATTTCAGGAAAAACGAGTTACAACAACAACGTCGAACAGTACTGAGTACGCTTGTGCTAAAATATTTCAATCTTTATAATTTGATGGTGTTATGCAACACTTAGTGTTCGCTAAGTCTCGTGTATTCGACGTTAGTGCCTACTGATTCTTTCTATTGAAATATATTTTAAGAATTACGTTCCCCCCACTGTGCTAACACAAATCAAAATTATTCACACTTTTTTATTACATCTGTAACTCATTACATTGTAATTACTTAAACGATTTAAGCTGCTGTCAATTGGGATGATTGCAAACGCAAAGCACATGACACGCATAGATCGAATATCAAATATTAGCTATTCATGGTAAATTTTGTAACAGTTCGCGAAATTACATCGTTCGGAAAGCATCATTTATCTACACCAATATGAAATGTTCAATCGGTTTACTCTGGTTCACAATATGTTGGCTCTTGTGTTCAATTCCCTATATTCAGCCCGCAAAAATATTGGCAATATTTCCTTTTCCAGGACCTTCGCAATATATTTTAGTTCAGCCATATTTGAAAGCTCTGGCTGCCCGAGGCCACGAAGTGACATCGGTTAATGCATTTCCACAGAAAAAGGCGGTTGCAAATTTTAGGGATATATCCGTGACTGAGGTGTTTGATAATTATGCAGGTGAGGAGGGTTTAAAAAGGATTTCAAGGATAGCTGATGGGAACTGCAAACAACTATGCCCCATATTTTATATTTTTTTCTTTTCAGACTTCATAGCTGGAACCCAGGTGGAGGTCAGCAAATGGCAAGAGATGACATTGTTTTCGGAATTTTTCTACAATGTCACCGAGACGGTATACAAAAATCAGGAATTCCAGAATTTACTACATAACGAACACTTTGATTTGATAATATTAGAGGCTTTACATACCGATGGCTTGTATTGTCTGGGCAGACATTTTCAAGCACCCCTAATTGGCTTGTCTTCTTTTGGCACAGATCCTGTAATTGATGAACTAATGGGTAATATGTCACCATTTTCCTATACGCCTTTGGTGACAATTGGTTATACGGATCGCATGACCTATAAGGAACGGATGTGGAATGTAATTTATCAGCTAATGGAGCTACTACATGTCAGATTGGTGGGCTTGCCACGTCATCGGAAATTGATGGCAAAATATATGCCACACATTAAGGAGGACTTGTGGGAGTTGAGAACAAATTTCTCCCTAATGTTTTTGAATCAACATTTTTCGTTGAGTTATCCCAGACCCTATGTTCCCAGTATGGTGGAAGTCGGGGGTTTTCAAATAAACTATCAACCCAACAAGCTGCCAGAGGATGTTCTAGAATTTATAAATTCCTCTCAGGAAGATGTAATTTACTTCTCCATGGGTTCCAATGTTAAATCCAAAGATTTTCCCACCGAACGTATACAAATGATAATTGATATCTTTCGCAAGCTGCCCTATAAAATTCTATGGAAATTTGAAAATCCTCAATTGCCAGTTGAAAAGCCGCCAAATGTTTTCATTAAGCCATGGTTTCCCCAACCCGATATCTTGGCTCATCCGAGAGTTAAATTATTTATTTCCCATGGTGGTTTGTTGAGTACCACCGAGGCCATTTACCATGGCAAGCCCATATTGGGTTTACCCGTGTTCTATGATCAAGCTATGAATGTTAATAAGGCAAAGCAAATGGGTTTTGCTTTGGGTATTAATTTTTATACTCTACCCAAAGAGGAATTGGAATCGGCTATTTTGGAAATGATGACAAATCCCAGATATCGTAACAGAATTATGGAAATATCCAATATTTATCATGATCAACCAATGAAACCATTGGATGTGGCTATATATTGGACTGAGTATGTATTACGGCATAGAGGTGCAACGCACTTGCAGACCCCAGCCCAGAAAATGAGTTTTATAGAGAAACATAGTATCGATACGGTGGGGGTTTTAATAGCAGCTGTCATTCTGATACTGGTTTTGATTGACGTCGCAATAGGGAAGATTTTTAATAACTTGTTCTCGATGAAGGAAAATAAGCAAAAGGTTTATTGAATACATTTATTTTTTCAAGTTTTGAATATATGTATATAACTAATATTTTAATCACATTTGTTAAGATGTGAAATATAATTAAAAATTGTTTGTTGCATTTAATAAAAACATGTTTTAAAATAAAATTGTCATTCTCCATTGGAATATATTTTACTTCGATTCAATTAGATCCTCTAACTGCTAGGAATGACGTTTTCCCACAGAAAAAGGGGGTGAACATTTTCGGTGATAGACCAGCCTTTTGAATTGTATCCCATATTTCTAAAAATACAGATGCTTACATCTGGTTATTCAAGACCTACAAGAAATTTGTCGTTTACAGAAAACATTTCTAAGGTGTTATTAAGATGTACACATTTAAAGGATATCAGTATCCTTCGAATGGGTGCTTTTGAATTGTCCTCTATATACCGAATATATAATATGTCAAAAATTCTTCGGTATTAGGAAGACTTCCCTTTGTGGAGGTTGAGAGAAAAGTATTGTGTCTGTGAAAACATTTGAGGGAGTATCTCTTCTATAGAAAACATTTGGAAAACTTGTTTATATTTTTTTATGAAACATCTATATTTAAGATTTTCTAAAGGACCATCCCATAGTTGGCATTTGATGAACCTTCATCCTGAAACGTCTTCTGTCCAAAGCAGTCTTTTAGAAAAAACTTTGAAGAGTATTTTATCTTTAGAAGGCTTGTTCAGAATTTTTGGGAAAAAAGAACATTTTCGAATGTTCATATCTTATAAGACTTTTTTCTGGATATAGAAGACCTTTACAATGAAATGTGTTGTGCGTCGGGTATATAAAGTTTTTATTTTTGGAATTAAAGAACACTTTTCAAATGTTCATCTCTTTAAGAGCTTTTTTTCTGGATCTAGATGATCTTTAGAACGATGTTCGTTCTATATATTACAACCTTTGAAATGTTTTCTATTTTAATAATAATTTTTGGTGACAAAAATCCTTGTTTAGCATTTTTCTTGATGTGCGGCAATAAAAAGAAGTCATGGCTACACGGCAGATTACTTATTCATTTTGTGATTTTGACGGTCAAAAAGACGCAAGATTCAGCCCATGTGTGAGAACTCGCAATGGAAACATGTGCAACATTTTTTTGTCTTCTCTTTTTAGTTTTTCTAATATCTCAGAAGATTTCAGACAAAGAAGTTATTACGTACAATTCAGAATTGACCTTTCCACAGTGCTCAAGCTTAACAGTCGCCACACATTACCAGGTTTGAGGAAGAAACAATTGAACAGTTGTTTCGAAATGCTTCTTCCACCAAATTTTTTGTTGGATTTCGTATTCGAAGACACGCACTTTCGATGGCTGTTTTGTTTCGGATCGATCATAGATCCATGATTCATCCACTGGAAAAATCTAAATAAACATGTTTTGAAGTACAGCGATCGTATTTTTGCAAAATTTCTTTGCACCTGTTTAGAGCGATTGCCAAATTGTGCGGAATCTAACGTAATTTTAGACTGACACGTTGAGCCACTGTGTAAAACTTCGTAATCAAGCTTTGGGTCATATGACGGTGGTGTAGTGAAGTGAATGCAAACCCCAGATTTGAATCTGAAATCCCGTAATATTCCAATAAACAATATTTCCATAAAAATCAAAATATGATGATAACACAAAATAAGAATGGTATAGTGTCATCTAGAGGAAAATGGCAACATTAAATAAGCAAGGACACCAACCAGTGCAAAAATTCAAGAAGACGTTGTTTTTAGGTAGCGATAGATGGCAACCCCATTGTCTGACAGACTATAGGAGACCAAAGCTTAACAAAACTAACAAAAGAAGTAATTGATTTAGAAAGTAATGTTTTTGTATGTATTCTCAAAAGTAACTGTTTTTTAAGTTACTGCACGAACACATGGTGTAGGGTGTGATAAGGCGATTTTTTTATACCCATCACTATGAAGATACATAAAAGTATTTTATATTTCTTTGCAAAGACCAATTCAGAAGGGTCTTCTATAGACAACAACAACATGAAATAATTACCCACGGATAGTTAATTGCAAAAGTCGAACAAACAGAACAACAGGGTTGCCCATATTCGACGGACCCATCTGGCAACGCCATAACTTTTGATAGAGATGTCACATCGTTTAATGACATACCGCGTTTGAAGCGTCAGTCCAAGCAGATTTTTACCATGAACCAATACACGACACGCGAGCGCTCCGAAATAGTTTAAATTTACATTCAACGGAAGAAGTCAATTGTGAAAACTCAACGTGCTTTTAAAACATTAAAAAATGTGAAAGGTGCGCCTTCTAAGAACACCTCTGGTAAGGCTCTTTCTAATCCGAAGAGGCCATATAAAAGTCGACCAAGGCGATCGGCCGAGAATATGTTGGAACAATTTTGGAACAAAATTATCATGAATGGGACCGTAAATAAGCAAAATTGCCGTTTTTACGCCACTGAAAATCCTCAGGAGATTCAAGAAGTGCCTCTTCATGACGAAAAAGTTACAGTTTGGTGCGGCGTTAGTGCGAAAACGGTCATTGGGCCGTTTTTCTTCCATGCTGTTTCCATCAATCAGGAGCGTTATCGCGACATGATGACCAATTTTGTGATGCCAATTATTCGTCGAAAGCGTATGAGGCAGTTCTGGTTTCAACAAGACGGCGCTCCACCGCACACAAGTCGCATAACAATCGATTTTCTGAAGAATTTGTTTCCGGACCGTTTGATGTCGAAAAGTGATTTGGACTGGCCACCGCGTTCGCCCGATTTGACGCCGCCTGACTTCTTCATGTGGGGATATTTGAAGTCAAAGGTTTACGTTAACAAGCCAAGGACGGTAGAAGAGCTCAAGGACAACATTCGTGAAGAAATAGCCGCTATTCCGGCCGAAGTGTTGGCAAAAACGATGGAAAATGCAGAAAACAGGGCATAATACGTCATCAACGTTAGAGGCGGCCATTTGAGAGATATCATATTCAAAAATTGATGTAAACAAATCTACTTAGAATAAATTAAATGATTAACATTTTCAACCGCCAAATTTTTATTTTTTCTTTGATAAAAAAACATGGGTCCGTCGTATATGGGCAACCCTGTGCTCTCTTCTTGAGGTAGGTTAATTTTTTAAATTACCACCTTCTTTCCAGTTTTATAAGAATCAATTATTATTTCATAATTTATATAAAAAAGACGATTAATCGAAATAAATATTTCAAATAACTTTGTTTATATTATGTTGTTATATATGTTTATTTGTTTACAAACAATGTTTACAATGTCAGTGCCAGTCAAACACCCAGATGACAGGCGGCATTAATTGGCCCCATATGATTTATTCTTATCATGCAATCTTACGTGATTCCGACGAGATATAGAGATTAAAATAGTTGCTTATCTTAGTTATTGGTGTTGTTGTTCCAACAACAACAAGTGGAACACAAATAGGCATACTTCCATTAAAAAAACAAAAGTGATTATGTCGCAGTTAAAAATTCTTGTTTGTTTATTTATTAAATTTATTTAAAATTTGACTTAATAGCAATTTTAAGAAGGGGGTATTTTTAGACACACATGTTCTGAAATTATAAAATGATTTACAAATATAAATTAATAATAATAAAATATTGTAATAAAAATTAATAATAATAAATAATAAAATAATGTATTAAAAATTTAGACTTAATAATAAAACAGTCGCTGACAACAAATATTGCAAATTATTTAAAAAAATATAACAGTACTAGCTAGTTGAGAAACAGAGAATATGTATTTGTTTCTTATATATTTATAAAACACTGACTTAATCACAATATCAAAATAACCGGTATTTTTAAGTACAAAAACAAAAAACGCAGTAGAAATTATTTAAAAATTTTATTTTTATTTTCGTTTGTGTTGTTGTTTTATTTTCGCTCTTTCACACAGATCACTCGCTTTGAGTGATGTCTATATTTACAATGACATTGACAATGAATGGCGTCATCTTTTTTAGTTCTACAATTTGCATGATTTGCAAAATTTGTTAATCAAAAGTAAAAAAAAACTACTGACACAGTAAATACAATTGTTGTAGATGGGAGAAATTTATATTTGCATTGTGTAGTAATACACCCTCCATAGTATAGGGATGGGTGTAAACAAAATAATGACTTTATTGTTATGGCATTTATATACATAATAACTGAGGAGGACTTTTTCTGTAGAAAAAACAAATCATCAATAACTGAGGAGAACTTTTTCTATAGAAAACCAGTATTGAAAGTAGTAAATTCGAATATATCCAAAGAGGTGAAACCCTTCACCTCTTTGGATATATTCAACAGATGAATACTAACAGACGTCGCTTTTTTGAAGGACCAGTAAACTGAAATTGGATCTACAAACATGGCATTCTGCAACTTACACTAAATTTTTCATTTGATGAGATATAGAGTTGCTGCTTACAATGGGATAAAATTATGTAAATCGCTTTAAAGCAAATATCAATCGGGCACCCGTTGATTATGATTTGAATTGATACCTGTAAACATGAGGAGTTTTGTGCACCATTTACTAAAAATCGGACGAAAATATATATGAGAGCTATATCTAAATCTGGACCGATTTTTAGGAAACGTACCACATATCATTCTAGACATAATTCATTAAGCTGTTCCAAATTTTGTGCAAATCGAAAGATATATAGGGTCTTTGGTGTACCATTTACCTTCAATCGGACGAAAATATATATGGAAGCTATATCTTAACACACACATCATTCTAGACTTAATTCAGTAACTCAGGCAAAATTTCGTTGCAAATCGAAGGATATATAGGGACTTTGGTGCATCATTTACCCTAGATCGGACGAAAATATATATGGGAGCTATATCTACATCTGGGCAAATTTTCACGAAATTTGGCAAACATCATTCTGAACGAAATTCAGTACTCTGTGCCAAATTTCGTGCAAATCGAAAGATATATAGGGACTTTGGTGCATCATTTACATTAAATCGGACGAAAATATATATGGGATCAATATCTAAATCTTAAGCGATTTTTCCCAATTTCAATAGGGTTCGTCCTTGGACAAATAAATTATTTGTGCCAAATTTCATCGAAATTGAATCATAAATGCGACCTGTAGTTTGTTTACAATTTAACATCTACGGACGGACGGACGGACCATTTACACCATTTACCTTAAATCAGACGAAAATATATACGGGAGCAATATCAAAATCTGAAGCGTCCTTGGTTCGTCCTTGGACCAATTAAATGATTTGTGTCAAATTTCATCCAAATCTACACACATCTACAGAAAAGGAACCATGTGTCTATCTCGTTTCCTTTTGCCTGCTACAAACATATGCACACAGACATAATACCCTGTACCACAGTGTGGTGAAGGGTATAAAAATAAATGCGGATTTTTTGCTATAGAATAAAATTTTTAAATCATGAGGAAGTCTGTTTCCTGAAAACAACACAGGAGAGAACACCAAACTGTCAAATATCAATAAAAGGATTCATTTAAAAACACGCGTCGAATTTGTTCTCAGTTTGGTGTGAAGTCTTTGCTACAATGTTTGCAACGAAATTTTGGAGCTATAAATCTTAATGTTTTATGGCTCTCTAACTTCGTTTCAAGTACATTTATTCCATTTTAAAACACCCTATCATTATCAGGTTTTTTTTAGTCGGAAACAAATAATCACAAAATATTATTCCATTTAGTATAGGGTACTAGACGTTCCACATGGACCCCACATTGACTTTTGTTGTTTGTTATTCCTTTTTAGATTGCCTGAATTAGGGTAGAGGTAAATATACTAATTTGACACACTACCATAGTAGCAGCTACTTTTGCTTTTGTTAATTACTTTTTGTTTTACTTGTACTTAAAAAAAACAAAAAAGCTTTTGTTCCCGAGAAGAAAGCTAACCATTTAGCTCTCAGTTTTCTATTCATCATTGGGTAATTCACACATGCATTCACCGCCGAAGTACTGTTATCATGAAAAGTGATACAATTGTGGTCGTTTCGATTTTATTAATTTCAACAACATTCCCTAGCTTTGGAGATGGAGCAAAAATTCTATCTATCTTTGGTTATCCCGGACCATCGCAATATTTTTTCATATCACCTCTGCTGAAAGGTTTGGCGAAAAGGGGCCATGAAGTTGTTTCCATTTCAACTTTCCCACAAAAGGAACCAGTACAGAATTTTCGCGATATTGCCGTAATGGAAAATTCGCAATTATTTGAGAGTAAGTAATTTTTGAATTTCTGAGTTTTTATCGAAAAAGGAGGTATTAAATGCTTTCCATAGAAAATAAACCAATTATATTCTGTGAACTTTTCTATAGAAAGAAGTCTTTCTCAGTCATTGAGGAATCTTTTCTAAGCTAAATTCTTCTTCGAAGTCTGAAGATTTTTTTTCTATAGAAAGAAAAATTCCTCAGATTTTGTAGGAGTTTTTTCATATAGAAAACTCAGTTACTGAGGATTTTTTCTATTGAAAAAATCTTTCTTTGTCACTGGGGAATTTGTTTTCTATAAAAAAAAATCTCTTTGTAGAAGAAAGTCTTCCTCAGATACATAAGATTTTTTTCTTTAGACAAAAGTCCTCAATCATTAAGGATTTTTTCTATAAAGAGTTTTTCGCAGTCACTGACGTATTTGTTATGTAGAAAATAGTTTTTTTTTATTGTAGAAATAAGTCTTCCTCAGTCACTGAGAAATTATTTTCTATAGAAAAGTTTTTTTCTAAAGAAAAATTCTTCCTCCAGAATTTCTAAACATTTTTCCATTATATTAAATCGTTTTCCTTATATTTCAGAAATGCTCTCCGATTTTGCTGCTGGCACTTAAAAGTCATACTTCTCGGAGTTTATGAATTTGGCTCGTACCGGTGAGACAATGGTCACAAATATTCTCGAAAATCCCGAAGTAAAGAACGTGTTGGCGGAAGAAAAATTTGATCTACTTATTGTAGAAATATTTTTCTCTGAAGCTTTATTGGGGTTGGGAGAATATTTCAAGGCACCTGTTATTACGGTATCCACCTTCGGTACTGTTAACTTCATGGATTATTTAGTACAAAATCCATCACCATTATCATATGTACCCCATCTTGCCATGCCATATGGTGATCATATGTCCCTCCTCGAAAGAATGCATAATGTGATAATGCAAACACTGGATGATTTAAACTTCAATTATTGCATGATGCCACTACAAGAGGAGCTGTATCGGAAATATTTCCCCCAAGCCACCTTGACTTTGGATGAGGCGCGTAAAAATGTATCCTTGGTGTTGCTGAATGACCACTTCAGCCTGCGTTCCGCCCGGCCATATGTACCCAATATGATTGAGGTTGGTGGCTTGCACATAAAACGTCAACCCGATCCATTGCCTCAAGATTTGCAAGAATTATTGGATAAATCGGGACAGGATGTTATTTACTTTTCGCTGGGTTCCAATGTTAAAAGTAAAGATTTATCAAAGGAAAAAATAAAAATGTTCTTGGACGCATTTCGTAATTTAAAATACACCATTTTGTGGAAATTCGAAAATGACACCTTGCCAAATAAACCGAAGAATGTCATAATTCGGAAATGGTATCCTCAACCATCGGTATTGGCTCATCCCAAGGTTAAATTGTTCATTTCGCATGGTGGTTATTTAAGTACCACGGAAACAATATTTCATGGTAAACCAATTCTCGGCATACCTCTACTGGGAGATCAATTTATGAATGTTAAGAATGCTGTAAATGCAGGATATGCCTTAAGTCTTAGCCTGGAGCAGGTTACATCCGAATCCTTAAAGAAAACTATTTTGGAACTCTTAACAAATCCCATTTATACACAGAATGTGCAGCGCCGCTCCAAACAGTTTAGAGATACCCCACTGACACCTTTGGAAACTGCCATCTATTGGGTGGAATATGTGTTGCGTCATGAAGGAGCTGTTCATATGCGTAATGCCGGTGTTGATTTGAATTTCTTTCAATATCATAATATTGATGTTTATTTAATATTGTTGACCGCTTTGGTTGCTATTGTTAAATTGTTAATTGTTTTTGTACGTTTAGGGAAACATCTGTTTGTAGATGCTGATCATAATGATGGGAAATCGAGAAAAGCTAAAATAAATTGAAATATCGAAACAAATTAAAGTTTTATTTTGAATTGTTACTCTGTTATAGAGGAATATTTTTTCTATAGAAACAAGTTTTTGCTATAGTCAAAATAATATTTGTCACTTGTTGTTTGGTTTTTATAGAAAAAAGTCCTACTCAGTTACTGAGGAATTTTTTCCCCTAGAAAAAGGTTTTTCTTAGTTACTGAGGATTTTTTCTATAGAAAAATTCCTCCTCAATTACTGAGGAATTATAAATTAACTCTTTATGTAACTAAGGAGGATTTTATTATATTGCAAAAAGTCTTCCTTAGTTTTTAAGAAATGTTTCCTATAGAAAACGTCTACCTTAGTTGCTGAGCAATTTTTTTCTAAAGGAAAAACGTTTCCTCTGATACTGGCTATTTAAAAAAAAAAGTCTTCCTCGGATTCTCAATTTTTTGCTATAGAAACAGACCTCCGCAATTATGTCTGTAAAAGGCAAAAGAAAACGAGATAGACCCAAGGTTAGTTTGGAAAATATGCCTAGAATCACTTTCAGAGTCGATTTATGCATGTCCATCCGTCCGTCAAAGTAGAGGTCGCATTTATGATCCGAATCAGATGAAATTTGAGACAGCCTATTAACCTTCAATCGGCTCAGACTTTGATATAGCTCCCATAGCCCACAAAAGATCATCCAAATTACACTGTTAGCCCGATTGAGACAATTTTTTTTTAAGTACAGATTGCCGTATGTGAAGTTTAGCTAAAATCGGCTGAAGTTTGCGTATAGCTCCCACGTATTCTTTCTTCCGATTTTATGTAAATAGTGCACCAAAGTGCCAAGATTTGTCCCATTAAGACAGTTTCTTATACAGCGTTCTTGCAGTTTTTCTATAGAAAAGATTTCCTCAATAACTGAGAATGATTTTTCCTTTAGAAAAAGATGTCTGATTTTCTGAGGAGGGTTTTTTCTATAGAAATTAATTCACAATTAATTACGTAGGCCTTAGTGATTTTTTTATTCTGTACCAATACGTTCCTTACCATTTTCCACAGTTCCTGAGAAATTCCTTTGAATACCACTCTGAAATGAAAAAAATCCTTCATTTATGTAGAAAAAATCCTCAGTAACTGAGGAATACTTTTCTATATAGAAGAACATTTTTGAATTTTTTTTTTACCAAAAAATTTCTCAATTACAAAAAATGCTTACGGTCTGGAAATTATTTTTTCCTCAGAATTACTTTCTTCTAAATAAAAAATACAGACATAAGACAAACATATATATATATATATATATATATCAGTTAGATATCAAGTAATAACAAAAAAAAATAATTTTAATACAGACGTCGAGCTAGTAATCAGTCCGATAGGAGGTCATTGCTACTATTATTTGAAGAACAGGAAATTTGGGAATTTTAGATCTTACCGTTTTATGACTGTATTGCGATAACGGTTTTATTTTAAACATAAGAGTTGATAGGTTTTAAACACACTCTATAGTGTTTAGTATTGTTCATACCATCCGATATAGAAACAGTTTTTAAAATAGTTTTGCATAATGACGTGATTTTTTTAGAAATTATTTTCTGGTCATAACATCTTAAATGTCAGAATTTTTTCGAAACTAATCATCTTCCCATTTGTGTAGGGTACCACATGATCGCCATGGTCCACCATTGACTTTCTTTTTTTGTTTTTGGTTTTTAGATTGCAAGAATTAGGTTTATTGTAAATATACTTGTTTGAGATACACTCTTCTGCTAGCAGCCACCTTTGTTTTTGTTATTTAAAACCTTTTGTTCTCGAGGAATTCTAACCATTTACCACTCAGTTTTGTATTCGTCATTGGGCAACTCACACTCGTATTCGCCACCATCGAATTGCAATAATGAAGTGCACTACAATTGTCGGATCGATGTTATTAATTTCAACAACATTCCAAAGCTTTGGAAATGGAGCAAAAATTCTATCTATTTTTGGATATCCCGGACCATCGCAATATTTTTTCATATCACCTCTGCTGAAAGGTTTGGCGAAAAAGGGTCATGAAGTTGTTTCAATTTCCACATTCCCACAATCAGAACCAGTGGCAAATTTTCGAGATATTGGCGTAATGGAAAATTCGAAATTATTTGAGAGTAAGTAATGTTAAAATGTTAGAGTATCTATCGAAAAAAAAACATTCAAAGGGGTATGAGTATTTTTTCCATAGAAAACAAAAAATAATTCTGAGGGACTGATTCATTTTTCTATAGGCAAAAAAATCTATAGAAAAGAAAACTGAGGAATATTGTTTTAGAAAAAAGTGGTACTCAGTGACTGAGAATTGTTTTTCCATAGAAAAAGGTCCTCTGTGACTGAGATTTGTTGAATTCATTGACTGATGATTTTTTTCTATAGAAAAAAGTCTGAGGAATTATTTTCTAATTAAAATTTTTGAATAGAAAACAATCCTCCTTAGTGACTGGCAATAACTGTTAATTTTGTTTCTATAGAAAAAGTCTTCCTCAATGACTGATGAGTTTTTTCTGAGAGCAAATTCATTTGTGGAATAAAATATCCTCAATAACTGAGGATTTATTCATCATTTTACTCGTTCTTTTTTCAGAAATGCTCACCGATTTTGCTGCTGGTTCTAAACAGTCCTATTTCTCTGAGTTTATGAATTGGGCTCGAACCGGTAAGGCAATGGTCACAAATATTCTCGAAAATCCCGAAGTAAAGAAAATGATGGCGGAAGAAAAATTTGATCTACTTATTGTAGAAATATTTTTCTCAGAAGCTTTATTGGGTTTGGGAGAATACTTCAAGGCACCAGTTATTACGGTATCCACCTTCGGTACTGTTAACTTCATGGATTATTTAGTACAAAATCCATCACCATTATCATATATACCCCATCTTGCCGTGCCATACGGTAATCATATGTCCCTAATGGAAAGAATGCATAATGTGATAATGCAAACATTGGATGACTTAAATTTCCATTATCGCATGATGCCACTGCAAGAGGAGCTGTATCGGAAATATTTCCCCCAAGCCACCTTGACTTTGGATGAGGCGCGTAAAAATGTATCCTTGGTGTTGCTGAATGACCACTTCAGCCTGCGTTCCGCCCGGCCATATGTACCCAATATGATTGAGGTTGGTGGATTGCACATAAAACATCAACCCGATCCATTGCCTCAGGAGTTGCAAGAGTTATTGGATAAATCGGGACAGGATGTTATTTACTTCTCGCTGGGTTCCAATGTTAAAAGTAAAGATTTATCAAAAGAAAATATACAAATGTTCTTGGACACATTTCGGAATTTAAAATATACCATATTGTGGAAATTTGAAAATGACACACTGCCAAATAAACCGAAGAATGTCATAATTCGGAAATGGTATCCTCAACCATCGGTATTGGCTCATCCCAAGGTTAAATTGTTCATTTCGCATGGTGGTTATTTAAGTACCACGGAAACAATATTTCATGGTAAACCAATTCTCGGCATACCTCTACTGGGAGATCAATTTATGAATGTTAAGAATGCTGTAAATGCAGGATATGCCTTAAGTCTTAGCCTGGAGCAGGTTACATCCGAATCCCTAAAGAAAACTATTTTGGAACTCTTAACAAATCCCATATATACACGGAATGTGCAGCGCCGCTCCAAACAGTTTAGAGATACCCCACTGACACCTTTGGAAACTGCCATCTATTGGGTGGAATATGTGTTGCGTCATGAAGGAGCTGTTCATATGCGTAATGCCGGTGTTGATTTGAATTTCATTCAATATCATAATATTGATGTTTATTTAATATTGTTGACGGGTTTTTTTGCTGCTTTAAAATTGTTAATTGTTTTTGTATGTTTAGTGAAAAAGACGTTGGTAAATCCTGATCATAATGATGGGAAATCGAGAAAAGCTAAAATAAATTGAAATATTGTATCGAATCAGTGTTTTATTTGGAAAAAAGTCGTCCACAGTTACTGATAACTTTTTTAATAGCAAAATGTCTTCATACTTTATGGATGATTTTTTTCTGTAGAGAAAAGATTTCCTCAGTTACTGAAAAAAATTCTTCCTCAGTTATTGAGGACTTTTTTTCCATAGAAAAGTCTTTCTCAGTTACTGAGGAATTTTTTTCTATAGAAAAAAGTCTCTTTCAGTTACTGAGGATTTTTTGTCCAATGCTATAATCGATGCTGAGATGTTTTTGTTTTGTTTGTGTAAAAATCGAAGCTTTAATGGATGTTGTTGAATACCCCCTCCACCGAGAGGGTATCTATACACCCCATGAATGCAGTACTCACTGTGGAATCCATTCATGTTAATCCAAATCCATAGATTAGCTTTCTCATTCTATTTTATATGTATGTGTGTATGTGAAAAAAGTCATCAAAAGAAATTATGGACCATAAATGAAAAGCTAACTAATTTTCCTTATACTCGAGTTGAGTGGACATTATTTCCGTTTTTATAACCATAATCGTTTTGCGTGATATTAGCCTTGTTCAAGAAGAAATTACACAGACAATTTTTTATATTTATTTAGGTTATAAAGAGGCACTGTCATAATCATCGTAAAGGCTGTAAGTGCTATTACGTCTGATCATCTGCTGTGATGGGTGGGTATTAGTTAATCATCTAAATTCGTGTTGACCGTGAAATCGTTTAGTGAAAAAAAAGATTTAATATTTGATTTAACTGTTTAGTAGATTTCATCTATTTTTTTGTAATTAAAAATGAAAAGAAAAACAACAAAATACGCTTGGATTGTGTCCAGAAAAGTTCTCCATACCCTTGACCTTAATTTTTTTTACCATATTTCCTTAAATGTTAGATTGACAAAAATCCAGATATATTTTCATTGATGTTGTGAACAAGAAAATGGGATTTAATACCATTACAACTACAACTAGAACAATTTCATCATAATCGTAAACATGACTAAAAGGATAACCATAACCTATGTAAACGCCCCCGCACCTTTGCAACAAACCTCCCAACTAAACCATAAAACAAAGTCAGTCGGT